AAGTGCTCTGGCCCATGTGAATTTGCAAGGTGATATTTTACAGCATTGTGCTGATTGTTTGATAATATTGTACTGTTGGTGTCCTTTCCTTCATATATTGCATGCCTCCCAATTGTCCCTATTTAGGAGGAAAGGAACTATTTGGGGACCAAATCCATCTGTCTCTTTTTTTTCTATTCTAATGTCAATTTTTTATGGGAGCACCATATTGTTGGTGTGTCTGAGTGTTCCACAACAATAATACTCATAGTAATTGAGTCTTATGCCGGGAGGTATTTATTTGCAAGGATCTGTGATTACAACAAGGGATCTTCCATTTAGACTTAAAGGGACACACCAGGCACCAAAACAACTGCATCTAAGGGGTTAAACCGTTCTTGAAGCAGCTTCCGAATTTTCACTTACAGAAAGCGCAGAGAGCCGCTGGGCAAGGGTGCTGCTTATTGGCTGAGAGCGGTCAGCTGACACACTCAGCCAATCAGTGACTCCCCATTTACAAAACTGCCTTGGAAAAGCTACATTTCTTTCCAAGCCAGTTTTAGGAGTCACTGATTGGGTGAGAGCGTCATCTGACCACTCTCAGCCATTCAGCGTTGGTCTAAGTCTGTGCGGTCTAAATGGCCACTCCCCACCAGAGCCCACCCAAACAAAGGAGCCCTTGATGTCCAAGTGACGGCATACCAGCGTTCCATCACATATCGACCTCCAAATAAAATCCGGCAGACCCGGTGTGACCCTAACTGGTTTGCCAGAGGCTGTCCACATAGTCTGTTGAGGTAAGAGGCTGCCCGGAGAACCAGCCTGTAGTCTGCGGGTAAGAGGCCCTCCTCCCATCCTCTCCAGCAGTTCAACAGTTTTTTCTTCCCCAGCCTGATTTTGGGCCCCTTTATCCACTTTAAGCCCTCTGTGCTTTGCGAGAGTGGGACCCATTGGTTGCCCCCAGTTGCCCACCCTTAATCAACAAATGCCCTGCAGAGTTTGGAACCAGGGCCTGATACCAAACACTCTGCCAACCCCAGGTGCCCACTTTGGCCACGTGTAGTGATTCAGGGCCAGCTGTCCAGCATCCCTGGGGACCACAGGTGGGGACCACAGTCTCATCCACCCGTATTGGGCAAAAGTCCATCAATTCTGGGTCTGTACAGTCCCTCTCCTCCCAAGCTTCTGATGAGGGAAGGCAGAGGCCAGCGGCACTCTGCCCTGATGCCATCTCTTCTGCTAGTGGGGGGGAGGGGAGGCTGGCCTTGGTGACCGCCACTCAACTGCCTAGCATCCCCATGACCTGAGGGCAGAGAGTAGCAGTATTCTGCCCCGCTGTTGGGACTTTAGCCGGGTCTCCCTTGCTCCCAGTTGTGGGGCTATCTGTGCTTGGTGGGCAGAGGCCAGCAGCTCTATGCCCCGTAGCCAGCGCTTCAGCTGGATTGGCCTGTTCACAGTCAGGCTCAGGAAGAAGGGAAAGGGGAGGGCAGAGGCCAGCTGCGCTCTGCCCTGATGCCAGCTCTGCTGCTGTAAGCTTGTCAGTGGAGACCAAAGTCCCATCCACTACACCTGGAACCCAGTCGGTAATCTGCCATTGGAGGGAAGGGTCGACTACCTCCTCTCCCTTATGTCCCCACTGCCACTGGGGAGGGACAACACCCTCTTCTCTCAGGCTCTCACACTGCCATTGGGGAGAGATGCCGCCTGCATCCTCTTCCTGGACTGGACTTTGCCGCTGGGGATCTGGGAAGGTTGCCCAGCATCCCTGTGGAGCTGGTGTGGAGACCTCGGTCCCATCCACACCTGCCAACTTGATGTCTTCCCAGGACCATTCTATTAGATCTCCTATTTCTGGAGCTGGTTGTGAGGTAGGATCACAAAATCACTAAGATCTCTAACCCGGGTTTGGAACAGCAACCAATCAAACTAGGCCTAAACAAACAGCCAATCACACTAAGCCCACTAATAACCAATAGGACACACCATCACACACCTAATTTGCATACACGGGAAAACATTAGATAAAGGGATTAACACACAGTCAACAATAGGTGACTCAGCTCCCTGAGTCACAAAGGGGAAAATCCTAACCCCCACCCACGTGGTCACATAGTCTCTGGTTCGGCGCCATCTTGTCTTTTTTTTGTGTGTGTGTTTCATTATCAAATAGTAACGGACCAGCTCGATCCACTGTTTCAATGAGGTTGCAAAAACAGCAAGATGGGAGTACACTAAAGTGCTAGAATAAAAGAGTATTACAAATTGGTACATAGAAAAGTAAAGCTCTGGAAATGGATTGGGACTAGCTCTGCACGTAAGAATGAGTACTGCATACATGCATGGCCTCCTGCAGACGTTATTGAGTAAACACTGTATATTTGGTCTAAATGTTCTTAATCCAATAACACAAGGTCAAAGATTATGCATAGTGGGAATATGGCAGCCTGGGTGGTCAAAAGTAGCTTTGTTTAGTGATCAATACCCTGCATATAGCTAAAGGTGCTTGGGACCTGCCTGGCATGGAAATGCTTGATCACCTAGGGGAGGAACAGCTGAGACTAATTTGTTAGTGACAATCTGTAAGCAGTGGAGTGCCTCCCAGTGACAAGGCGATGGCAAGACTGACCAAGAAAACCTGGAAATGTCAAAGTGATCCTGGCTTTTCTCCAGCAATAGATGAGAAAGCACTGTTATTCTAACCCCTGATTGTAAAGGTTACAGCATTGCTTGCACTGGCTCTCACTGCTAATGATGTTCAGTGTTTCAATTAGGGATAGACTGATATTGATTTTTTAGAGCCAATACCGATAATCTTTCAATCAGTTTAATTGAACTTTCAGGGCGATAGCTGATAGCTTACCGATATTCTGTACATTTACCGTATTTTCTTTTTTGCAAATCTTTTTTTGTGAAGTGGTAAATGCACAAAATGCCAGAGATTTTTTTTTTAGGTTTTCAAGAACATTTATATCTGTGTGTAGTGGATGCAGTGAGAGTGTTTGATTAGTAAGTGCAGTGTGTGTGTGTGTGTGTGTGTGGTGGATGCAATGTGTTTGTGTAGTGGATGCAGTGTGTGTGTGTGTTTGTGTAGTGGATGCAATGTGTGTGGTTGTGTAGTGGATGCAGTGTGCTTGTTTGTGTAGTGGATGCAGTGTGTTTGTTTGTGAAGTGGATGCAGTGTGTTTTTGTGTGTCCCCCTCCCCCCATTCACCTCCCTTCTCTTTTAGTGGTCCCACCATATCCCAGTACCCTAGAGTCCTCCCTTAATGTTCCTCTCTCCCCCCTAGTGTGCTTAACCTCCCCTCCCCGGTCCCATAGTGTTCTTCACCCCCCCTCCCCTGTCCCATAGTGTTCTTCACCCTCCTTTCCCATAGTGTTCTTCACCCCCTTTCCAGTGTTCTTCACCCCCTTTCCATAGTGTTCTTCACCCCCCTTTTCCCATAGTGTTCTTCACCCCTTTCCCATGGTGTTCTTCACCCCTTCCCATAGTGTTCTTCACCCCCTTCCCATAGTGTTCTTCACCCCCCTTCCCATAGTGTTCTTCCCCTGTTCCTTTCCCATAGTGTTCTTCACCCCTCCCCTGTCCCATATTGTTCTTTACCCCCACTCCCCTGTCCCATTGTGTGTTCCTCCACTGTCCATAGTGTTCTTCACCCCCCACCCTGTCCCATAGTGTTCTTCACCCCACCGTTCAATAGTGTTCTTCACCCTCCCTCCCCTGTCCCATAGTGTTCTTCACTACCCCTATACTGTTCTTCACTCCCCCTCCTGTTCCATAGTGTCCCTTACCACCCCCTTTACATGGTGGTCCTTTCTACCCCCCATAGTGTTCCTTACCACCACCCCTCCCCCATAGTGTTCTTTACCACCCCCTAATCATGTCCCATAGTGTTCTTCACCCCTATTCCCCTGTACCATAGTGTTCTACCACCCCCATCCCAGAGTGGTCCTTCCCACCACGCCTCCCCCATAATGTTCCTTACCACCCCCAACCCATGTCCCATAGTGTTCTACCCCCCCATCCCATAGTGATCCTTAACACCCTCCCCCCCTCCGTCCCTTAGTGCCCCTTTCTCTCCCATCCTTGGTTGTACCCGGCCGTACTGACAGGAAGTGCTCTCTCAGTGAGCACTTCCTTTCAGACCAGCTGGGTACAGGACACATAAGTTCCTCTACTGTGGTGTGCACTGCTCTGCTCGGCCACTCTACACAGAGTGCCTGGCAGGAGGGAGTGCTGTGCGCCCACCTCCTGCCGGTCAGTCCAATCTAGCTCCCCCGGTACACCCTAAGGCAGCCGTTTGTGCTGCCTTATGGAAGCACCGGCCCACTCATTCATTATCGGTATTGCTGGTGATTATCGGCAGATACCGATTCTTAGAAAAAAATCTGAATATCGGCAAAATCGATAATCGGTCGATCCCTATTTTAAATGAATGGACTTTAACCCTGGTCTTTAAGCCATTCCCTACTAGATGGACTTTAAACACCGACCATACTGCAGGCACAGGACCCTTCCTATAACAGCTTGTATGTATATGGAAACAGTCTATATTGACAGTTCATTGTAAGAATTATGTTGTCTTCTTAAAGGGTCCCTGTCACCTGATATTGTATTAACATAAATCCGTTTATACCCATATTCTGAAATAGTATATAAGTTTACATTTACTGCAATTACTACTTTGTAGTCAAAGACATTTTCACCCCTACAGCTGCATCACAAAAGTCATTAATAATAAACAATGTGTGTGGCTTTAGTCAATCAGAACAAAGATCTCCAGTTTAAGCAGATTAGCTCCAAGAATTCCACTGTCCAATGAAGGGCAGCCCAAAATTGCAATCTGGTCCCTTTGACTTTTTTACATAAAAATATTTGTTCAGCACAATAACAGAACACATTTTCTCTTTGAACTGAGCACAAACACAGTCTATACAGCATGTAAAATGTATAGGAATAATAATTTATATTGAACACCAATGTAAAGGGATTTTATTGTGCCAGCAGAGGAATGAAGAATTCACTATTTGTCAGCCGTATTGATCTGGTTGTATTTTCTCAATGTAAGCTCCATTAGATTCCAGATTTGACCTGATGTACAGGAAACGTTAGTGGCAGCCTGTAATATATCGGACTGGTGTTCACAGTAAAGCACTTCATTATCTTTGGCCTTGCTGTTCCAGTTTCGCTCCATTAAACGGACAATGAGAACTGGCTCTGGAGAGTGAAATGTTTGACTCACTAGCTAATGCATCACTGGATGTAGCCAAAGCAGCAATACACAAGCTGGTACCAGTGTGCGGACGAGACATGCATGCATGGCACATTGCAAAGTGGAAACATAGAAACAAGAGTTTTGACGACAGATAAAAATAAGTTGGTCCATATTCTTAGTATCCAGTTCAGTGAGTCCATTCCAAGACTGTTATTGTATTTGCTTCTACCACCACGGCTGGAAGGCAATTTCACTAGTTGCATCTCTCTCTGTATAAAATATTTTGTGACTTTATTTTTTTATTTTCCTGCGTCCCATACTATATTTGCCACACTAAATTTTTTACATATTTTTCACTTTCTTACAAAGTAATTGTAAAAGATTTTCTCAAATCCACACTTTAGCATTTGGAGTGTAAACTCACAGGCTACCTAATGAGACACTTTATATAAATGAGCTTCAATGGCTAGATCATGGACCTCATCCTCTTTACTTTTTGTACTTGTTTGTGTATATTGTAGTTTATTTTCCCTAATTGTACAGCGCTGGGGAATATGTTGGTGCTTTATAAATGCCAGTAATAAATAAAATGTCAAAAAGGTAAAACCAAAATGGGGGGGATGACGGACAGGTGGGGTGTGGCAGTTGAAAGGGAAATATAAAAGTAACACTTTATAAAGGAACTGGTGTTTGTTCTGTTAGAGACAAAATACGAAAACAGAAAAACAACTAAAAAATAGTCATGTTACATGTCCTTTGTTGATTATTTAAGTATCTAATATTGAAGGGTCAAGTGATCATTCTCCTTGAAAGGTATAAACTGGGATTGTCAAATATGGACATCTACGCAGTTTTAAACTGAAACTCCCAGAATGATTTTCAAACCAGGAGTCGAGTCAGCCACTGCTAAGATTTTAGTTTGAATAGGTTTGATACGGATGTTGTACTGCAAGTTTTCACTGCCTCCTGAACATATTAGCAAATCTGAGAGCATCTAACCCAGTGGTTCCCAAACTTTTTAGGTTCAAGGCGCCCTTAATGTTTCAGTATTTTTCCAAGGCACCCCAAGTCAAAATTTCTAGGTTGTATATCTGTACAGCACTGCGGCATTTAGTGGTGCTTTAGTGTAATGTACAGTGTTGGTGTTTGGATGGGTGCTTGTATACATTTATTGTGTTTTAATACAGGGGTGTGTCTGAATGTAATGTTCACTTTTAAATGTGGATGTACATTTGTGTGAAGGGGTGTGTTTATGTTAGATTGTAGGAGTGTGTTTGTATATATATTTTGTTTGTTTGTTTGTTTGAATGCAGGAGTGTGCTTGTATGTTGTGCTGGTGTTTGACTGGATGTATGCACATTCATACATACAGACATACACACACAGGTATTCATGTACATTAACAACCAGATGGATATAAATATACCGAAACATACACACACATACACAGACATATACACACATGCACCCTGACACACACACACATTGATACATACCCACACCATGACACAGATACACACTGACATAAAACCACACACCCTGACACACAGATGCACATATGTGTGCATGCACACAGACACAGAAGCACACCCTGACACACACACCCTCATACACACACTCATACTCCTCTGGCTCCTCTCCCCTCACGCTGCGGCTGCCTCCTCTCCCTCCCGCGCTGTCTCCCTGCATGATACTGGGAGGAAGTGACAGGCAGTCACTTCCAGCCGGCCGACATTACAGGGGCCCAGTCGTCATCTTAAAGGACCGTGGCACTCGACCGGGTCCCTGTTGAGCACTAATGTTTCCCCGGTGCTATAATCATAGCACCAGGGAAATATTCTGCGGCACCCCTGTGTGCACTTTGCGGCGCCCTAGGGTGCTGCAGCACACCGTTTGGGAACCGCTGATCTAACCAGAAATAAGCACCGTATTGTTGCCTTGAAAGCTAATTTAATAGCTGTCCATAAATACTAGTAGAAATCAAAGCTGTGCATTCCCCTTTGTTTGAGCTACGTAAACTCAAACTGTGCCCTGGCAAAGTAAATAGGCTTATCCAAATTCCAGCAACGAACAAGACCAAATATTAGATTCCTACTCCCAGCAAGGGACCAGCAGAATACACACTAATAGCTTTTCCTACGGCCTATCCATTAGGCTTTCTGTGCAAGTACATAGAGACGGCTGGAGTAGCTAGGAAATTGGGATACATTGCTTAACCTGTGGTGGGCACCCATATGGCATGTTCCATCAGGCCTGCTCACAGCTCTTTAACAAATGAACGCACTGAAGTGATAAACACATTTAGGTTTTGTATTTTTTCTTTTTGTAATTATTCTAGCATTTCTATATTTTATGCACTACAGGTAAGAAATTGTGTTTTGTTTTCTTTAAAAGGACACTATAGTCACCAGAACAACTACAGCTTATTGTATTTGTTCTGGTGAGTAGAATCATTCTCTTCAGGCTTTTTGCTGTAAACACTGTCTTTTCAGAGAAAATGCAGTGTTTACATTACAGCCTAGTGATAACGTCACTGGCCACTCATCAGATGGCTGCTAGAGGTGCTTCCTGGGGCAGTGCTGCACAGTGTGATTGCCATTCAGTGTCTCCACCCTCTGCATGCAGACACTGAACTTTCCTCATAGAGATGCACTGATTCAATTCATCTATATGAGGAGATGCTGGCTGGCCAGGGCTGTTTGACTTGTGCTGGCTCTGTCCCTGATCTACCTCATTGACAGTCTCAGCCAATCCTATGGGGAAGCCTTGTGATTGGCTCAGACCAACACTTCTGATGATGTCAGCAGACATGGGCAGTTCACAGGCAAACAGGGGCAGAGCCAGGAGCTGCAGACTTGAATAAAAGTAAGATTTTACTATATTTAGGGAGGCAAGAGGGAATCAAAGGGGCTAGATGGTGGTATTAACACTATAGGGTTAGGAATACATGTTTGTTTTCCTGACCCTACAGTGCTCCTTTAAAGCACTATGTCACATTATTTGCACATAGAAATGTAAATGTTATTCTCTCTCATTTATATTTTCACTGGAAGCATCAGTCATCTTTTTCTTTTCCCAGACTTTTGGGTCTAGGGTTTCTTATATTCCATGGCAAAGAAAAAGCAAAAAAAAAAAAAACTGGCCACAGTGTGGATTCCAGGTCCAGAGACAATACTAGAAAAAGAAGGAGAAGAAATCCAATGACATAATTTTCCAAGAAAATGCTGGCAAGGGTCTTGCCAATTCTAAGACCACCCATGAGAGGGAGCTGCAAATCCAGTTTTATAGGAACTTGCTGGGATCAGCAGTTTGATTTTGGGGGTAAACACACTTGATTCAAACAAGTGGGCTCAAGGAATGAGACATATTTTCCAATATCTCCCCTTTTGCATCAGAATAGGTGAAAAAGTGCAGTTTAAGGTCTCATGTATTAATAGTACAATAAATACATGTCTAACCCAAAGTACTGAAAGACATGAATCCAAAGAAATTAATTTTTAAAGATGGCATATGCCCAACAAGTAACCATTATATTACATATGATTTGGGATGTGGCATTGTATTAACCTGGTTCTCTCTGAGAGAGCAGATTTCAATTTGTAGGAGAGAAAGTTTGTTAAAGATAGAAACCTCTTAACGTCGGTATTAAACACTGAACCTACAATGTAAAATGAGATGCATTAGGATGTCGTGAAATTTATAGATTTACATACATAGGTACCGCAAAACGTCACCTTATTGTCCGCCTTCTCCCTCGGCACAGCAACAAAGCAACCCAAGTTGGCTCCATTGGACTGATGACTCATGGGTTATACTGTTATTATACGAAATAATACGTTATGATTTTGTATAACTTGCCATAAACAAATCCCCGTGGTACGTGTTTATACCATTTGGATATTACCTATCTAGTGAAATTCAAAGAGATAGACTTCTCTGAACAGATCTCAATGATTAACCATTACTTGGCACCCAAATATGAGATAGAGTTATATTAAGAGCACATCTGTACTGTATGTTTGTACGATCACAAGTCATTACATTGCACTGTCACATGTCGTTATACTGTCGACTGCATAACGTTACACTCTATCAATCTCTCTTTTTGTATGACACTCTCTTTGTATGAATACCTCTCTTAACCTGAACGTACCATTATACGATGTATGTTTTTGAATACAACAATACATTTTTCTTTTAAAAGAAAGAAACCTTTTAACGAAACACAAATGAGTTAATGTGAAAAAGAGACTTCCAAGGTTTTTGGAGACCCGTTCAGAATAACACATCATCATCTTATCCCATTGTAAAGCGCTATGGAATTTGTTGGCGTTATATAAATATAATAATAATCTACAGGGACATTATAAGATCATGTTATAATTATATATATATATATATTTATTACACACATGGCTTGGTTTACAATCCTCATTGCAGTTAATTTGACGGGTGCAGTCACTAAACTAAGAATTTTGGTGAGATAAGAGTTGCAAATTCAAGACCAAAACTGCATCACATTACAGCATCACTCAAATGAAGCTTGACATATTAAAAACTCCACTTTAATCGTGCAGTTTTGTACAGATACCAAATCCAAAAGAAGATATATTTAATGCTGGAAATCCTTACCGGACGGCACACAGTCAGGTTCTGCAGGAGGAGATGCAGCCAGTGGTCCAGCCAGCCAGTAGTATCTGTAAGAAAGCAAAAAAAAAAAAGAATGAGGCATGTTTTAGAACTTCTGAAGAAGGCTTTGCCGAAACGCGTTAAGTTCTATCTTAGCACAGTGGTCTTTTTATATTGTATTTATTTTTTATCCAGCTGCCTGTTTAGTGTGTCCAATAAAGTGTTTCTTGCATATTTCCTGCATCCTGGAGTATTTAGGCAATAGGAACCAAGGACCACGGGGGTGATCCAGCTTGGAGTTTGTGTACCACGTGCATCTATCAGATATGCTTCTAGTCTGAGCCAGCTTTTCATAAGTGGCTCATGAACATGTGAGTTGAACGGATTATCAGTTTAAGTTATATTCAGTTGCTATGTTATTACCCTATGTTGCGGTTTCTTCTATTTTCATATTTATAGAAGTTGTTTTATATTTCTACGGACAATAAGAAAGATTTTTTATATTCACACGTGCAAAAGGGTAACGTGCAATTATTATATCTATTTGAGTGCTCTCACCACCCACGATTGTATTACACTGTATGGTTTTAATTTGTGTGAAAAAGTGACTCACATTGGTGATTGCAGCACCCTTTGATATTCATTTTAACCTTATCCTACCTGCATTGTTATACTAATGTTTTAGAGAAATGGTAACAACTCTCAGCATGTGTTCTAGTAGGTAAGGGAAAGTCAGACTGAGGATATTACAGAAAGAGGTCATCAAAAACAATCTCTGAGATAGTCTGTCTAAAAAGAATGAATAATGCTACCTTCAAAACAATGTGTCAGAAAGGGGTAGAGGAACTTTGGCAACTCAGGTATCTATAAACTATATATTTCTATTGTTTACAGTTTCCAACCATAGTTTGGGATTATTTTTGCTAGACGATCAATGTTATATTTCTATGTCATCAGGTAGGAATAGACCAATTATCGGTTCTACCAATTATTACAGCCAATATTTGCATACTTCTGATAAGCTGTATCGGCATTGTAAATGACAGATATATTACCGATAACTCACTCACCACTCCCAGTCACTGCAAGCCATCTTCCGTATCTGGAAACTCCAGCCGTCAGCCAACGAGGCTGCACATTGCGACCACACGCTACCTATCCCTGTGACTCCCTGCATGCAAAGCTCAGCTGAAGGCAGGGAGGTGATAAAGTGAATGCTGGGATCTCTCTGGCTGCCTGAGAATATCACTGTCAGCATGTTCAGTAAATGCCAGACTTGTTTTAAAATTGTGTTGCCTTTTGAAAACTTTAAAATGTACAGGATATTGGTACAGGTTATTGGCGAACGGCCCAAAAAGGAACCAATAATCTGAAAAAATTATATTGGTTGATCCCTAGTATCAGGGATCAATACTGTTGTGCCCAGTAATTTGCACACACACTTTGTAATACATAATGGCATTTTCTAACAGTTAACTCTAGTTTTTATTTCACTTTATTATTTAAAATGTTTCAACTGTAGGGTCTCTCTCATTGCCTGAAAGAGTCAGCTGTGCAGCCCTAGCCAATAAGTGAGGGCCTTGATTGAGAAGTGCTTAGCTCCTGAAAACATTAGACTTCTCTAACAGGAGAATACCAGATGTTTTGCAGGCAACTGGGTCATAACCTTTGGGAGAATGCTTGGGTATTCCAGGCATTATGAGCACTACAGAGGACTGGAGTGTTTCTATTGCTTCGAGAGTTCATTTAATGATTATGGAAATATATACATTTGGACACGACTTATTTCCATTGTGAAATGTACTTTTCTTTTTCCTGTAACAATTTTTTTCTACTTTAACGAGAGGGCACTGTTACTCCCTTATTTCTGCAGGTTTGAAAGTTTACTAAACGGAGAGTTACAGAGTACCGTTTACCATATGGTAGGAAAACAGCTCAGATGGTACAAATGGAGAGTATTGTAACTTATTAGATGCCAGTGAGCTAGAGATTTGTCAGCTCACTGCAATGTACTGTGTAGTGAATAACACCCCCACAAAATAAATAGGAATTGGATGCTGGAGAGCTTTCATTTCCATGAACGTGATAAATAGTACAGGAAATTAGACTGAACCAGGGGATATCACAATCTGCAGATGGTAAAGATAGTTTTATGCATCATGAAAAAGAATCCTTATAACAAAACTTATTCATTTAGTACACACGTGTCTCATCAGCACAAACTGGTCTGAATAATTAGTCTGATTCTACAAATAAAAGCTCTAAAATAATAATAAATAACTTCTGCTCAGACATGAACACTGATATCAGAAACACAGTACATTCTTAAATGTTACTTTCTAATTTTTGAGCCAAAAGGTAAAAAAAAACCAAAAACAGAGCATGTTACTTTTTGATTTGAGAGAGAGACTGAGCGTAAACACAATGCGGCACTCTAAAGGCTTGCAGAGCACCATGGGAAATGCACTTTACAAACATTGAAGATGCCAAAATGAGCCATCGCTATTCCAGTGGTTGCCATATTTCGATAACTGTGCTTTAGTGAGTGTGGGGACTTTTTGGCCAGTTTAATCACCATATGATAATTTGCTAATTAATTAACTTATTTCATGATTTACCTTGTTCAATAAATCTAGCTACATACCAGCAGCTCTTGACAACGTGTGTGTGTTAGTGGAATAATAACTTACAGGCTGGTGAAATTGGACTTGGCCGATGTAGTACTTCGGAAGGTCATTTTCCGTCAAGTTATTAGACCACTTGGCTTTCCCGCTGCTAAATGTGTAATTCCCCCTTTGATTGAATTAATGTTTTACTATATCAGGAGGCTATCTGGCTCTCGCTCACATATAATTAAATCTTAATGTTTTGTTTTTTTGTTAACAAAGTAGTAAGTCATAATCCAGCCAGTGTTTAACAGACATATCCTTATGGTTAACTTGATTCTCACTTGACTAAGGTACCTGTACATTCCAGGTATAAACAAACTATGTTTAAAAGAAAATTATATATATATATATATATATATATATATATATATACACACACACACACTTAGAATGAACACACAACAGTTCAGTTTTGTGGGTCAGATGACAACTGAATAAAAACCCTTTATTTATTTACCTTACCCCGTCGAGGGCTCCACCTCCTCCGAAGTTCGGCGATGAGCATGGGCTAATGTAAATGCACGGCAAATGCCGCACGCACATTAGACCTCACCATAGGAAAGCAATGAATCAATGTTTTCCTATGGGGAAAAAATCTGACGCTGGATGTTCAGACGTCCAGCATCAGTTTACAGTTCAAAGGTCCGTTAGGAGGCAGGAAGCGCCTCCAGTGGCTCTCTGGCAGACAGCCACTGGAGGCAGACTTAGTGCTGCAATGTAAACATTGCAGTTTCTCTAGAACTGCAATGTTTCACATTGCAGCACTAAAAGCAATAGGGACATTGCACCCAGACCACTTCAAAGAGCTGAAGTGGTCTGGGTGCCTATAGTGTCCCTTTAAGGACGGCAGCAATTGTACAAGTTCTGAACAAAACCTAGAATTTGAATATATGTCTGTTCATCCATGTATCTCTTTCATATTAAGTGCACCCACACTTGTTACTGGGTCAAATATAGAGCAAATACAATTTTATGGACTTTCTGACTGGGTTGTCAGGCAGGTCCCTCAATATATAATTAATAAAATCACCTAATTTGATAAAAATAATACATAAATATACACGCTGAATTACATTTATATATATATATATACATATACACACATATATATATAAATACATACACATACACACACATACATATATGGAAAAAGTAAGGAAGTTTACCTTTAAGAGTTCGTTGAGATGAACCTCGGTGCTGCACAGCGTGGATAAATACAAGATGTTGAAGAGAGCACTCCAGAGGATTTGTTTAACAAGTTTAATATGTGATGCAAAATGATCAACGTTTCGACCCAAGAGGTCTTTGTCAAGATGACAAAGACCCCTTGGGTCGAAACATTGATCATTTTGCATCACATATAAAACTTGTTAAACAAATCCTCTGGAGTGCTCTCTTCAACATCTTGTGCATATAATATATACACACACACATAAATATACATATATTATTATTATTGCCATTTATATAGCGCCAAAAGATTCTGTAGCGCTTTACAATATTATGAGAGAGGGGATTTAACTATAAATAGGACAATTACAAGAAAACTTACAGGAACGATAGGTTGAAGAGGGCCCTGCTCAAACGAGCTTACAGTCTATAGGAGGTGGGGCTTAAAATCCAACAGGACAGGTGGTAGCAAAATGCCTGTGAACTTCCTCTGACATCATCAGAAGTGGTGGCCCGATCCAATCACAATGCTTCCCCATAGGATTGGCTGAGACCAACAAAGAGGCAGATCAGGGGCAGAGCCAGCACAAACACAGCCCTGGCCAATCAGCATCTCCTCATAGAGATGAATTGAATCAATGAATCTATGAGGAAAGTTCAGTGTCTGCATGCAGAGGGAGGAGATGCTGAATGTTTGGATGCATTTTAGGCAGCCATGACCCAGGAAGGATCTCTAACAGCCATCTGAGGAGTGGCCAGGGAAGTTATCACTAGGCTGTAATGTAAACACTGCATTTTCTCTGAAAAGACAGTGTTTACAGCAAAAAGCCTGAAGGTAATGATTCTACTCACCAGAACAAATTCAAAAAAGCTGTAGTTGTTCTGGTGACTATAGTGTCTCTTTAAGAAACACAAGGAAACAATAACTATCAATATACACTAAGAATGAAGTTAAACATGCATACACACACACACACATATCTCAAAATACAATATAAATATAATTTAATTATAAGTGTTTATTTATATACTATTCTATACAATGTTTTATTCATTATATGTTTGGGACTCTGCCTGACAACCCATGCAGTCCCCCTGCTGGCCGACCTGGTCATGTGATCTCTGTGTCATCGCGATCACATGATGCAGATCGTCAGGATGAGTGCCTCTGTTGTCAGGCAGTCATCCCCCAATCGGATCCTGTGTGGACGCACGTATGCCCTAACAGCGCTAAAGCCCTCCTTTTCTAGGACAGCACAGCACACCCTAATGTTAAGAGGTTAATGATATACGAACAAAGGCGAATGATGGTTTGGTAGGTAAGAATAACACATTTTGATATAATAATACAGTATATTATTAGACAAGGGCTTCTAACTAGGAATTCCATGCGTGGGTATAAAGCTCTAGCTGTGAGAGGTTTTAAGAGGAGATTTTGGATTCATGCAAGCTTTGTTCATTAAGCTGAGAAGAGCTGTCCAAGTTATAGAAGTTAATGATTTCAAAAGGAGAGCAATTAAAAAAGATGCACGCGTTTTTTAGGAGCTGTGGTTTATTGCAATATAAAGGAAATCAGATGGAAAATTATTTGTCTAGTTAATGAGGTTCAACAAACTAGTTTGCCATCTGGAGTCCTGAGATGAACCTTCGGAGGGACTGTCACTTTAACTGTGGCCCTAAGATTTACTCATGGCTCATCAATCACCATTTCACTCACTGGTTCTAAGGTTATTATAGGTTGTTTAGACAAATGGTAGGGATAGTACTCCAGTGTCTGGATATCTGAAGCAGGGAAACCACTTTAATCCAGAGGCTGTGTCCTTGGCTTTGGGTATCCATTGCCAAATGATCCTGATTGATGTATGATTTAGGTTTGGATCAAGGCATGAATCAAAATGGATAGATACAGGGCTCAATGTGCACGCCATAGAAAGCAGGTAAAATGTAATTGTGCCTCACCAAGGAATGACATGTGCCTGACATGCATTTATATATATAAATCTGGGAACAACCTTCTATTAAATAAAATATGAAAGTAAACATAACAGATTTCCAATCTAAACTGCAAGATTCTCAGAGGAAGTCTACTACCAGCACCACATGGTAAATGAGCAGTGTTCCACATTGTCTGGGTGAATTAACAGTGCAATATTAAAGGAACACTTTGGTCTCCATATTTAACATAATCTAAAAGAAGTTGTTATGTTGCCAGGAAGCCCCTGAGCACTTTCTTTCCTTAAAGCCTTACACCATTTTTGAATGGTTTAACCCCAAAGGCTGCTTCTAGCGTTGGATCTGCATTTCACCCAGGGGGCAACCAGTTTCAGAAATTGAGTTTTACGGAGTGCCTCCACTGATTGCATAGAGTAGTCAGCTGACACTCTAAGTCAGTCAGTAGCTCCCCCTTCATTAAAAAAAGTTGTTTTTTAAAAGCCGGATGCCGTCTGGGGGAACTGCAGAGCTGGCATTGGCTGGTATTGAAGGCAGCCTGTAGGGTTATACAGTTTAACACCTTAAAGTAAGAAAGTGCCTGGGGTCCTCCACGTATCATAACAACTTAATTTAAATGAAGTTTTCTTTATATGGGCAGAACATTACAGATTACATAGGCAGAGAGGTATGGTGAATGTGCAGATCCTCTTGATCTCAAAGTGATTGTGCATACTGGAAATTATAAGAAAGAAAAAAAAGCCACTCCCAGCATTCTTATCCAATCAACATGACCCAGTTTCAGAGTAACGGGACATTGATAATGTGGATATATTAATCATCTGTCATGCCACTTTTCACTTGTCAGAAATTAATTCTTTATCAGATTCCATCTATACATTGTGTAGCAAAATCCCTAAAACATTTTTTATAGATCTCTTCAGATAACACTGTAAAAATTGTGCTCCCTCTCCCTCCTGGCAGACAATTGTCATAAACTCTGTGCCAATGTCGGTCAGCACGAGGACACGCTCTACGTTGTTGTCATGGTAAAGACAATAAAGGAATTGGGGGAACACCTGGAACATGCGTTTTGCATGAGTGATGCCGCCGCAGTCTGTTCTCACGCTGTCCATTCAGGCCCTGCTTCATTGAGTTCCAGCATGCGACTTTCCACACAGAGGCAGCCCAGAGAACAGGGGAAATTGTTCAAGTTCACAACGCAGGGCTTATGGCAGGAGGGTGGGGGGGAGGGGGAGGCACGGGACACATTCTATGCAATTTAACTACTATATAGAGCTGAAGCTATTGCATTGGGTACAAATTACCAAACCTTCCTAACGAGCGTGTGTGCCTGAATGCGCATGTGCGCCCATATTGCGCGTGTGTACGCACACACAAATGCATGCGCTCGTGAACAAGTGTAACACGCGGGTAGAGGAAGGGGAGGAGTTGGTAGGGGAATACACAATAGCAGGGAGTGGAGTACTTGGAAAATCAGAGAAAGAAGGAGCAGAGTACTTAAAGGGTAGGAAAAAGAAGGAGCAGAGTACTTGAAGAATAGGAGAAAGAAGGAGCAGAGTACTTGGAAAAAAGGAGAAAGAAGGAAAATAAAAAAGCAAACAGAGAAATCGTCTGAATATCACCGAAAGAGGAGACCTTCGTTTGTTCCTTACGAAAATCAAACCAGATATCAAATATTTAGTCTCGCAGCATCAGCCTCAAGGATCTCATTAATACTAGTAAAGGTAATTTCAATTTACTTTATTGTTTTCTCATTAAACTTTATAAAGTTAAAAACATTACAAACATGCATAAAGTAGAAATAAAAAGATAAATGTACGTACATTTAAAAAAAAAAAAAAAAATTAAAACACCCTACTTTCTAAAAAATATTCTGCACTTGCGTGAAAACTGGTGGGCGGTAAGGAAATGTTGCCATCAAGAAAGATGCCTTAGTGGGCAGTAAGTGGAAAAAGGTTGACTACCCCTGGTGTACACAGGGCCGGATTAACATAGGGGCTGATGGAGCTGCAGCTCCAGGCCCAGGCCCATGGAATAGGCCCATTGATTTATAAAAAAAAATTTAAAAAAATAAAAATTTTTTTTTTTTTTTTTAACATTTTTTTTCACACACTACTCTTAGGGATTCCACCTGGCTTTTATTTTATTGGCACAACCAGTATTTGAGGCTGCCTGGCTGGTGCCAATATTGCAGTGATACTGGCAGTACAAATGCTGGTATTTTTCTCAGTATAAACAAGAGATTACTATGCAATACCTGCACTGGCCAGTAGGGGTCGCTGTGTGTGGAGACAGGCAGGGAAAGGACATTCCAGCATATCCCTCCCTGCCTATCTATACTCACTGAGGGGTGCAGCTACAGAGAGTCCAGACAGCAACTCCCACCCTGCAGAGACAGCCTACAGCTCAGGGAAGTAAGGGATGGGGGGAAGGCTGCAAGGAGACATACACTGGGAGACATTATGGCAGACACTGAGACACTAAGGGACATTGGGAGACATTATGACACAGACACAGTCTCCCAGTGTCCCCATTTCCCCCAGCCAGTGTCCCTGGTGTCTCAGTGCCCCCTAGTCTCCCAGTGCCCCCAGTCTGCCAGTGTCTCACTGTCCCCATGTCTCCTAGTGCCTCCATGTCTCCCAGTGCCTCAAGTGTCTCAGTGTCCCCATGTCTCCAAGCTAGTGTCCCTAGTGTCTGTGGTCCTGGTGTCTCCTTGTCCCCATGCCTCCCAGTGCCCCCATGTCTCAATGTCCCCATGTCCCCCAGCCAGTGTCTCTAGTGTCTGTGTCCCCATGTCTTCAAGTGTCCCCTATTTTCCCAGTGTCTCCATGCATCCCAGCCAGAGTCCCCTAGTCTCCCAGTGTCACTGGTGTCTCTGTGTCCCTAGGTCTACCCGTGTCCCCAGGTCTTCCTGTCTTCCTAGTGACATGGGGACCCTGGGATACATGGGGACACAGGGAGACATGGGGCTGTGATACATAGGATCATTGGGAGACCTGGGGACACGACACTAGGGGACACTGGGAGACATGGGGTACTGAGACACTGATACATAGGAACACTGAGACCTGGAGTAATCGACACATGGGGGCACTGGGAGACATGGGGCCACTGGGAGGAATCCATCTACAGCATAATCAAACTAAGTAGTTTTTTGGTGATTTTACAGCATTTGTCATATGTCACTCCTTGTGATTTACATCATGTGATGTCACCCATACATATTTAATTATGCAAATTAGCAAGGGCGGTATGTTTTTCCATGAAAGGTGGCAACCCTAACTACTTTTCACATACCCTTACTTAAGTATGGAAATTTAAGGGGGATGTATGGGAACAAAAACGTGTGTGGACTGGCTGACAATGAATATAGTTAAAGGGACACTAGAGTAACCAGAACAACTACAGCTTATTGAATTTGTTCTGGTGAGTAGAATCATTCCCTTCAGGCTTTTTGCTGTAAACACTGTCTTTTCAGAGAAAATGCTGTCTTTACATTACAGCCTAGTGATAACTTCAGTGGCCACTCCTTAGATGGCTCTTAGAGATCCTTCCTGGGTCATAGCTGCCTAAAATGCATCCAAACATTCAGCGTCTCCTCCCTCTGCATGCAGACACTGAACTTTCCTCATAGAGATTCATTGATTAAATTCATCTCTATGAGGAGATGCTGATTGGCCAGGGCTGTGTTTGAGCAGAGTAAGTGATGAGAACCGCACCCAGTCCCAACGGCCAAGGGTGCTCCAGAGCAGGACCAGCAATCCCAGTACAATAATCCAAGAGGAAAAAACTCACAGGCACTCCAACTTCAAGCCGCAGGCAGATTTATTATGACAGAATGCAACGCAACGTTTCGACCGGCTTGAAAAAGACCTTTCCGGTCGAAACGTTGCGAAACGTTGCGTTGCATTCTGTCATAATAAATCTGCCTGCGGCTTGAAGTTGGAGTGCCTGTGAGTTTTTTCCTCTTAGGGCCTCTTAGGGCTGTGTTTGAATCATGCTGGCTCTGCCCCTGATCTGCCTCTTTGTCAGTCTCAGCCAATCCTATGGCTAAGCACTGTGATTGGATCAAGCCACCACTTCTAATGATGTCAGCAGACTGCTTGTTTTTCTGAGTCTAACAACATGCAGAGTTACAGCTTCAGGCTTGAATACAGTTAGATTTTGCTATATTTATGGAGGCATGAGGGGCCCAGGGGGCTAGATGGTGGTGTTAACACTATAGGGTCATGAATTCATGTTTGTGTTCCTGACCCTATAGTGATCCTTTAAGGTAATGATGACTTTGGTCTCTCTAACACTGTGGCATGTTCCCTTTCTTCTACACTCACTACATACAGCTTTTCTCTGTCCCAGACCATATACCAGGAGCTTTTGCCTGCTAGTAAGAAGGTAAGGAGACAAGTGGACCAGCGAGTGCTAGGGAACAGTCCTTAGAAAGCGTTGAGTGAGCGCATCATTAGGCACATTTATGCCAAGCTCAGGGTGCTGTCTGCATAGTATGCCCTTAGTTGGCCAGCTGCATGATTGGCAGGCAGCCTGACATGCATTCATATCAGGCTGGCCTTCTAATTCTTTGGGCAGACATATCCTCTTTTTGGGCATGTTCGCCCCTTTTGGCAGGTTACGTGATTTGTGTCAGTGGCACACCCTTTTACCGTGCCCATTCACTTCCTGCTTGACTGGACACTGCTGTTAGGGGTTATGGATTTACTTGAAAGATGAAAACATAAATTAGTGAGAGATTAGCCTACGATATGTGTTTTCTTATAGCTGCTGGTTTCTTTCTCTCCAGCACCATCTCCATCAGATACATGACGCTTGGGAGTGTTTTACTGTTTTTGGTCGATATGATTCTGTAATTAGGCCCGTCATAATTGTCAGCACCAGGTCCACTGGGCTTTTAATCTGGCCCTGGGTGTACATTATAGAGGATGAAGTCTTAAGGAAAAGGGCAATATACTCGAAGCTTCAGGGGTGACTGAGCAGAATATGCATAACAATGAAGAATGAAAATAATGTTAATTTTAACAGAAAACGAACATGAAAAATTATCCACAGGTTGCTGTTAGGATCGTAAATGGATTGAAAATAGAGATTTTGGTCTAAATACATGTTAGAAATACATTTGCTGTAAACGAAATATAGATTTACACAAACGACAATAAAACACACTTGTGGTCCTGAGACACAAGTGTAATGACATTTTATTTTAATGACTTTGGCATTAAACATTTCACATTACATATCCCTACAGGCGCAGTACTCCATCTGTAAAGTTAGTGGGATTTCATAAGCCACACATAATTCCCTTGAGAAGATTAAAACTGATTTTATTAATGACACGGAGGCTCCTATTATGCTATCTCTTTCTTACTTTATTCCTCAGCAGCAAAGAGAAATATAAAACTGAAAGAGAAAAAATGTAGATATGCAATAAAATAATAACAGGTACAACCAGATCTGCCTAGTAACAGGGCAGCCAATCAGTCTCTAGGAACAGTCCATAAATCTCTATCCTTGTACTTCCACTTCCTCTTTCTTTGCTGCTGTCCTCAGACCAGCTAAGTATAATTTTTCTCTCCTACTTGGTTTTGATTGATGGGTTTTACTAAGGTTTTTTGCCTGTGTTATTTTATGTTATCGTTTTCTGTTTGCTTATTGTCTTTTATTTGCCTTATTGACAGGCTTTATGTTGATGTTCTTTTGATTGGTATACCTTTTTTGGTGGTACATATTGTTTGCCTCCCCTGCGTTTGCCCGCCGCTTCCCCTGTCTGTCTGGCCGTCCCCCTTTCAGACAGGGTTCGCGGCTAGCAGGGGAGGTTCATTCTGGAGCCCTCTGCTCCCCGGTCCCCTTTCCCTCGCGGCCGCGTGTGCGGCTGCGCTTATCTGCCAACCCGATCTCCCGCTGGTGCGAGGAGTGCCGGCCGCGTGTGTGGTCGCGCTCCCCGCCCATTAGCAGGGGAGGAGCCTGGAAACGGCCGCGGCGCGTTCTGCGCGCGGCGGCCATCTTACCCTCGGTTTCCACGCGGCTGGGTCGGCTCCCTTTTACCTCCCATTACTGTGTGCAAGTATTTATATATAGTTTGTTTGTTCCTGGTGGGTTACTCAACCCTTTATACTGTGTAGGTTTATTTTTCTGTCACCTGTTTTAGTTTATTTAGGTTTTACAGATTTGCTCTGCTCCTTGTCTCAGATATTTAAAGGGGCAGTACTTGCAGTTTCTATTTGACTCTGTTAATTATGCAGGCTAGGAGTGAGGGTTCTGGTAGTCCCAGTTACCCCATTATGGACTCCTCTCAGACCCCTATTACAGGGGGTATGGGCCTTACTCCCTCACAGGAGTTCCAGGCCCTTTTTGATTCCACCATGCAGAAGGCCCTGGCTTCAGCCATGGGGACAGTGTCCTCGTCCCTCTCTCACACTATTCAGCAAGCGCTGTCGCAACCTTTGGGCCCTGCCGTGTTGCCTGCTCCCCTGCCTGCGCTGCAGCCTCATACGGGTCGCAAGGCACAAACAAAATTTAAACATGTCTCTCCAGAGATGACGCAGGTGACACCTGCCTTGACTGACGTGCCTATGGCCGTCCCAGATGGCGCGTTTCCGCGCAAGAGAGCCGCTGGCCGGGCAAAATCGGCCAGAAAATGGAAACGGGCACGTGCCCGAGATGATGATGGATCGGATACCGATCAAACTGGAGAGTCAGACTCGGATCCCCCTGATTACGCCTCCTATGAGGAAGGGGTTTCCGGCGATGAGGCGGAGTTTGACGCTTCGGCGCTTCCGCCGGGTGAGGGGCAGGACATCTGTGATCCTCAGGGTTACCCCCTGTTCGATCCCGATGACCTTCGCCATCCCCGCTCGGCGGAATGGGACCCGCCCGCGCATATTGCCAACTATCTGGCGCTTCGTATGCGTACCCCCCTCTCCAAGGAGGGGCGCAGTAAACTGAGGGCCGAGTGCCCAAGGCCTTCGGTGCCTGATTCGGCGTGCAAGACGCCAGAGGTTGACCCCCAGATTTCTCAGTTCTTAACTAAAACGGGTTGGAAGCCCCGAAAAGGACTGGAATTTTCACTGCATAATTGCCAAGACAAGATCTTGGATACCCTGGGCCCCGCCGCCAAGCTTTACGAGCTTCTGGAAGCGGCTAAGGCTGGAACGAAGCCTATTGATTTTGATGAAGCGATTGGGTGGGTCCAGAGGTTGATTTGCCTTCTCGGCAACGCGAACAAAGCCATGTCGGCTGAACGCCGCAAGGCGATTCTGCTCAAAATTGAGCCCAAGTTAGTTAACCTGGCAGTGAAGGAGCCTGGTGCTTCGGCCAAGGGTATGCTCTTCGGAGAATGTTTTGTTAAGGACTTAGGCTCCTTTGTCCGTACCTTTACCGCGCTCGATAAGGCGCAGTCCAACCTGAAGAGGGTGTTCGGCCCTAAGGTTTCCCATGGGGCCGGGAGGTATAGGAGCCGTCCGCCCGGCCGTGGAGCTCGAGGTCCCCCGAGGACTCACAGAGGTTCCTTTTCCGCCCCCCGGACCTACCAAGACTATAAGCCAACGCCCTTTTTTCCCTCACGGGGGAGACCATGGCAGAGTCGGGGAGGTCGTGGACAACCCTCATACAGACGCCCTTACGGTGAGTACACCAACACGTGTATCTTGCAGAATGAGTGTGGGGGGCAGATTGGCACTGTTTCTCGATGTGTGGGGTATGATCACCACGGATGTTTGGGTTCTCAGTGCGGTCAGAGGTTTCCGCCTAGATTTATTGTCTCCCCCTGTCCAGACGTTTCTCCCACAGGAGCTGAAACTACCGGCAGAGCAGGCCGGATTAATTACCGCAGAGATCGCGGAACTGTCTGCCAAACGGGCTATTCAAGAAATCCTCTACGGACACCCGGGATTTCTAAGCAACCTGTTTCTTGTCGCCAAGAAAGGCGGAGGCGTACGTCCAGTGATAAACCTCAAACACCTCAATTCTTTCCTACGTTACCATCACTTCAAGATGGAGGGCGCTCATTGTCTCAGGGACCTGCTCCGTCAGGGAGACTGGATGGTCAAACTAGACCTCAAAGATGCCTACTTGACTATACCCATGGCGGAGGAGCATTGGGACTTATTGCATTTTACGTGGCAAGGTCGTCGATGGCGTTTTACATGTCTGCCGTTCGGTCTATCTTCAGCTCCGTGGTGCTTCACGAAAGTAATGAAGCCCGTGGTGGCCTTCCTCAGGGCACGAGGGGTCCGCATGATTATCTACCTGGACGACATACTGATTATGTCTTCATCCCCGAGCAACTTCTCAGGCACCTGAGATGGACGGTGAGTCTCCTGGAGAGACTAGGTTTCCTCGTCAACTGGGAAAAATCCATTGTGACCCCGGTACAAAGGATAGAGTTCCTGGGCTTCGAGGTCGATTCAGTCACCCAGTTTCTGTTCCTCCCGGAGGCAAAACTCCGATCGATGAAAAAGGAGATACGACGGGCGCTGCGAGCCACCTCTCTCTCCGTCCGGCAATTGGCGAGGGTGATCGGCCTGTTGGCCTCATCGATTCAGGCAATTTTTCCGGGCCCACTGCATTATCGAGCACTCCAACGTTTGAAAGGGTCCCATCTTCGCTCAGGGGGCTCGTACGAGAGCGTGTTGACCCTGGACAGGGACTCCAGAGACGAACTAAGGTGGTGGCTGGACCACATGGAGGCCTGGAACGGCCGGGCGATCTTCGGCTCCGCGCCGGATGTGATAATAGAGTCGGACGCAAGCCTGCATGGCTGGGGCGCTCGCTGTGGCGGTGTCTCCACCGGTGGAAGATGGTCAGAGATCGAATCGGCTCTGCACATAAACTGCCTGGAACTTCTGGCGGGTTCGTTTGCCATTCGAAGTCTATCTCCGACGCAGGGAAATTGCTGCGTCCTCCTACGTATGGACAATGTGTCCGCTGTCAGGTACATAAACCATCTCGGGGGGACAAAATCTAAGCAGTTGGCGAACTTGGCAAAGGATTTCTGGCAGTATTGCCTACACAATGCCGTATCGGTTACGGCCGAGCACATTCCGGGTCTGGACAACGAGTGGGCGGATTGGAACTCGCGCTACCTGAAGGATTCAGGAGACTGGCACTTGCTGTCCTCAACATTTCAAAGGATAGAACGGTTGTGGGGTCCACTTCACCTGGATTTGTTCGCGTCCAGATTGAACACCCAACTACCCCAGTACTTCAGTTGGAGACCGGACCCAGCGGCCACGGCAGTGGACGCGTTCTTGCAGACGTGGCCGCCGGGACGCCATTATGCGTTCCCACCGTTCAACCTGATATCCCGGACACTGGCGTACTCGGCCGGACAGAATTGCACGATAGTGATGGTAGCTCCACTCTGGCACTCTCAACCGTGGTTTCCCCGCCTTCTGGAGATGGCCATAGATTTCCCACGGATAATCGAAATGAGGCCGGATGTGCTTCTGGATCCGGATGGGAAATTGCACGAATTGGTGGATCAGAACTTACTTCAACTCACGGCTTGGCTAATCTCGGGAGACCCTGGTGTGTCACGGACGTTTCGCAGACAACTGCTCGACTATTGGAGAATGCCTGGGCACCAGGTACCAGAGCGGCTTACAGGACCGCTTGGCGCGTGTGGTCTGGCTGGTGCTTGGGTAGATTGCTGGATCCACTTTCTGCCCCTCTAAATGCGCTGCTTGGTTTCCTGACGGAACGTTTCGATTCTGGTTTGGCTTATCGTACCCTTAATGTCTATAGATCAGCCATTTCGGCCGGACATCAAGGGATAGACGGATCTCCGATTGGACAACATCCTATCGTGTGCCGCTTGTTGAAAGGTATCCGTTTTGCTAGACCGCCAAGATCTAGATACTCATCGTTTTGGGACGTTAACGTCGTCCTTGGATTCTTGGACTCCTGGCCCTGTAATGAGGACTTGACACTCAAACAGTTATCATTGAAACTGGTCATGCTTCTGTGTCTACTTTCGTGTAAGAGGGTGTCGGACGTCAGGGCTCTGGACTGGAACGCGGTCTCGTTCACCCCGGAGGTGTGTCGTTTAATATCTCGAGGAGGACTAAGTCGGCTTCCAAGTCGGTGGACTACCCTAGATGCTCCATCAGACCTGCTTTGTGTCCTGTGGCTTGTCTCCAGGTTTATTTGGATCGTACCCGGCTGCTGAGGTCAACTGACTTGCCTCCACTCTTTATCTCCTTGAAAGCACCGTTTCTACCGGTCTCGTCGCCGACGCTTGCCCGCTGGGTTAAAGACCTCCTCTCGGCTGCGGGTATCGATACTTCGATTTTTTCGGCTCATTCAGTTAGGGGTGCCATGGCATCAAAGGCTTCTACGATAGGATGTCGCCTGGACGATATCTTGAAAGCGGCAGATTGGTCTAAGGAATCTACGTTCCGTGATTTTTATTTCCGCCCGATTGAACATGTTTCTTCATTGGTTGTGGCTCAGCTTTAAACTAGCATAATAGGAGCCTCCGTGTCATTAATAAAATTCCCAGATTTTACTATTAACATGACGTAAAGTCATGATTTTATTAATGACACGGAGGCGAGTATTATTCCCACCCACCCTCCCGTGGGTCTGGGTCTGGTTTTTCGCTTAGGGTTCAATCGGGGGGTTCGTCTTATCTCACGGTAAGTACACATGAGTTACTCGTATCGAACATATGGTGTTTTAGAGTGTGACATATGTACATGAATTTGAGTATGATGCTCTCTATTTGCAGGTCACGTATATTCGATATGTTGCACTCAGTTCCTAAGTTTGGAGTTTACCACATATTTCTTTGTTTTACAGCTTGATCCTGGTCTGTTGATGTCTACCGGTTTGACGTTTCTTGGTTACTGCTTGGATATTTTGCTTTGGGTCTTCGGTTCAGAAGGCAAAGAAGAGGAAGTGGAAGTACAAGGATAGAGATTTATGGACTGTTCCTAGAGACTGATTGGCTGCCCTGTTACTAGGCAGATCTGGTTGTACCTGTTATTATTATTATTGCATATCTACATTTTTTCTCTTTCAGTTTTATATTTCTCTTTGCTGCTGAGGAATAAAGTAAGAAAGAGATAGCATAATACTCGCCTCCGTGTCATTAATAAAATCATGACTTTACGTCATGTTAATAGTAAAATCTGGGAATTTTGGAACACTGATTTCACCCACCTCCAGATATTGTATCACATGTTGTTGGTTAAAAAACTATCAACCTGCATTGGGCATCTTTTACAAAATAACCACCAAAACGTGCTATGATGATTCAGGGGGTTTGGCTGGTCATATTGACCCCTCAAAAATCTGGCAAAATTACTGACAGGTCACAAAAAAGTTATGAAACTATTTTAAACCTAAAAATGTCTAATATAATATAAAAGTCTGTCAAAAATATGAAACAAATATATAAACAGCACAGATGTTTTTACTCATGGGTTGACTTTTTTTAGAGCTTTTTCTTCCATGTAAAAGATGTTCCTTTGAGCATCCTCTCAGAATGCTGAATTACTCCAAGAAAATGTTTCTGGAAATAATATGGGCTCTTAGTTTCGGTAGACTGGTCCAAATGTGATCCTATCAAGAAGGTCGATGATCTTCCCCAAAGGCCTTGAAAACTATTCTAACGTTTACACACAAACCCATTTTTTTTTATATTTCTCCTGAACTGCACCACAAAATCAGCAGATTTATTAAGTTAGTTGTGCTTTATAAATCGTTTATAAACAGTTCCACCTTTTATATCATGCAGCATCCAACCACACAGACACATTGGGGTGATGTTTTCTTGGACAAACACTTGTCATAAATATGTTGCATTGTTTTACATTTGTATTATGGCACTTAAACAATACCATTAGATATGAGTGTTATAAAATGGGATTAACTGTTACAGGGATGTACTTCCCATCCTTGTCTGGTTTCTCTAAAGAAACACCAAGTATGAACTTCTACCGGGGAACAAATCAATGTCACCCTAGATAAGTACAAGAACTACTTTTTTGTAGGATAATACCCCTATTACCATTGTACAGCGCTATGGAATTTGCTGGCGCTATATAAATAATAATAATCATCTGTTTAGTTAATGCATCAATCTTAATCGACATGACAGTCACATTCCTGCAATGCAAAATAAATGAATTCTCAATGTGGAGAACAGGAGTGAAAAGAAAGACATGGAATAAACTATAGCGAAAGGATAGCCACTGCAGATCAGGATCAAAGCACTAATTATGCTCTTGGATAAAATTCCATTATTTATATATTTAGTCTTAGTGTAAAATTATAGATCACAGCAGGAGATGGCCTACCGTACTAGATAACCCAGTTCAAACTTTAATTACAGCTATTGGATTACCAGAGACTATCCATTTTTGCAGCTTCAGTTATACAGCCTATAACTCTTTTACATTAGTGTTCGTGATACTATTCACTTTGTCTGCTTTGGCTACAGAGACTGTAGAGGCTCAGCACACTGCTGGCCACACCGGAATTTTGATCATTTCTTGCCTACACTTACCTCACTTACGGCAAATACTTGTCCCATGACGTTTGCAGAACTGGCCCTACTGGTTAATTTTCTGCCAAGAGCGGTTTATTGGTTTTGAATGCGGAGCTTTGTAAGATTTAGTGCTTTCAATACTATGTTTTATAGTTGGTATGATTGTTACTATTGTTCAACCATTCAATTGCTGGCATTGTTTGATACTTAGTGGCCCAAGTTTCGGTTTTATCAGTATTACCTTTATTTGAATACACCACATTGCTTAATTTTTTATGCCGTGTTTTAAGGAATCATACATCTGAAGGTTGGCTAATAGGGGATGAAATTACTGTGTTTAGTCCTGTTTTCAAATAACCATCAGGTGAATAAATCCTATCACATGTATGTACTTATAACTGTCTATATAAACACACCAAGGCTGCATTATGTATTATGAGAAAAGAAGGGCAACGAGAGTTTCTACATTATAGACATTATAAATGAGAATGAATATCTTTAGAACTCCAAGATGACATTCAAAGGACTGAAAACAAGATCTGTATATAATACACACTGTCACTAAATATCACTGAATAATGCTCTGAATTCCCTAGAAAGATCAGGGAAAATTGCTTAAATGAGCCCCTGACAGGGACTTCCAGGAATCTCGAGTACAATCATTACATTGCAGTCTGTCAGAATTTCTTATAGCGCAGTAAATCACTGGCAGGAGCAGCATAGTAAACAGCACACACTGGCGTTAATGCTATGTATATCAGTATGCTGCACACCTTAACACACACTGTGCCAGAACAAAGTCTTCCATTAGAAAAATAAAATAAAAAGGGGATTTTTCAGTCTATATCAATGCAGCTTGTTTGACAGTGGTTAACAGTCACAGCAATTCAAACCTTCTGGCTAATTTATTTAAGCTAAAGAATGGAAGAATTTGACAATTTGTTTTGTGTGGTTTTTTTTTTTTATTAAACCCCTGTTTTTTTTGTTTTTTTTCTCAGTATGGTTCTGAATGAATAATTCCCTTTAAAACCAGTCCTGCCATTAATGCAAGAGGTATTGATTCACAGAGGTGTTAATCGGATGCAGACGCCAGGGCTGAACAGTCTGTCTTCACCATTCTGCTGCCAGAGATACACTGATTGATTTGCAATCTGCAGAAATCTCCTCTGACATGGAATAGTATGACATTTGAGTAACAGGATTTTTACATAAACAGTGTCCCTAGACAGCCATGGGCCCAAGGCATGCACATTTCTGAAATTCAGCAATCTCTTGTAGACCAGCTGGCCTCAGAATATGACCTCTAAATGTGGCAACTCTATAGACCAGCTGGCCTGAAAATGTGACCTCTTAATGTGGCAACTCTATACATAGCACTGTATATATAATAAATATATGCTAGATGGGTAAGGTTGAAAGGCATTGTAAGCCGGTCATAAGTGCCTGAATATTTGATAGGTTAACTGGAGCTTTGAAGAATCAGTAGTCATAACATGGCTGTGAGAATAGCATTAACTGGCACAACAAAATGGTCTTAAATGGTCACTCCAGACCCATGAGGCAGTTTAGCTTGCTGAAGTGCTTTATGTGTGAAGTGTGCCTTCTTATTACATTTACAAAAAGTACAGATGTCTTTAGAAATTGGCACTTTTATAAATTAAACTTGTAACACACCCAAGTTGTCAATCGGACAACCGGTTCTGTAACTTCCTGGTTTGGTTAGTTCAGTGGAGCTAAACTCAAGAGGCAGCAATTGCCCAGAACACCTGTCTTGCAAAGACTTCTCATTGAGCTGCATTGGGAAGTCTGTGATTGGACAGCCACAGAAAGTCTGGGTGGGGTTAGAAGGGGAGGGCTTGCAAAGGCTGCAGACAAGAAAACTGCAGCTTCTGCAAGCTGTATTTCAATTTAACTCCAAATGCATAATTAATTGCATGCATGCCGACATTGGAAGCATATGTACTAAACACAGTAATTTCTATTTCTTGTGCACGCGGGTAGTGGATTGTTCGTTTAAGAAATGGGAATATTGCTACTAGTAGTAAGAATTATTTTCATTATCTACTGGTTATTTCTATCTTGTCACACACTAATAGCTTTTAAACTATGGTTTTCAAATAGGATGCAGCAAAACACTCTTTGCTTCCCGCTACTCTTAATTACCAACAGCACTGGACTGCCAAACAGGAGGTTGCGGCAGATCCCAGGTCACACAAATTAAGAGCAATTCGGCGGTTTACAGTTCACTGTAGATTGGCAAAATAATAAGACATGGTAAGTGAGGGAAGGAGGGATGTTGGAGTGTAGAAAAGGGCAAATTATTAAAAGGAACTGAACTTAATATTAACCCAGAGGTGGTGATTGTAATATCTGCTATTTCCTCAAATTATTGTCAGTAATAACATCCCATTGGATAAGTAGGGTGCTTTTAGGTGATCTTGTAATGGTCACCCATAATATTGGTGGTGGATCCAATTGGTCACCTCTGTTTAATTGGAGGCTGAATTAACCCAATTTTTTTATATGATTGTTTTCAGTTATTTTTAAAAAAACAGGCTGCTTTAAATGTCATGTTATCTAAATCTCCTGCATCTAAAAGTTACTTAGCTAATTCGTTCCAATTCAGAAAGTCTCCAATTTGTCTCCAAATACTTTACGGGACTTTAAATGTGTGTGGAGTGTGGAGACAAACCATTCAGCTTAAGTACAAATCTACACTCCAGTATAGTTAAGGGAAAAAACTAAATTAAAAAAAAGATCTTACGAGGAGCAAGATGTGTTATTCTGCGGTTTTCTTTTAGGTCACTAGAGGGCACTATGTCCACCAGACACGTCATATTTTAAAGTAAAGTCGATTTTAACCCATATGGAAAATGCCATGATTTTGGAAAGATTATGTTCTCTATATATGTCTACAGACTAAATAACAATATCAATTAAAATAAACAGTTTTAAAACACCACACATTTTTGGAGCAGATGCTACATGTCTTGAGCAGTTATGATATATCTTTAAAAGTGGGCTTGTCACTCCAACATCATTTTTCATTAACCATTAGAGCCTATGAAAGGAGAAGGTCCATGTGTTAAATTTAAGTTGTTTTATTAACACATTTCAATTCCCATGATTTGTGATGAAATAGCGGATATATGTATTCAAATTAACCAGATTTTTTTGATTTTTTTTAGTCATATATTCTTTAGTAGACACATGGCAATTTTCAACTTAAAAACAATTTTCTTCACTGATCAAGCACCATGTAAAAAAAAAACAACAAACAGAAGACATGGGGACAGGAACAACTTTAAAGCTTAGTCCATCATTAAGGTCTCAAAAGCGTTTTTTGCACACAGGTGCTCTAACAAAGACAAAGTATATCATGTGACATATCAGACTCCCATTTGTGAGGGTTGTCTAGTACTGAAATGTCAGCAAGATAGCGCAGGACAACAAGGGAGATTATAAGCAAAACTAAACCAATGAGACTACTGCAAAAAAAACAAGGAACACTGAGAATGGGCATTAGCTGACGGTCTCCCCAATGTAAAAGGAAAATCCAGATGTAGACTCTGTGCTCAATGTCCCTACATGTTTATCAGACACCTCACCAATGAGACTCAAAGAAGGCTGGAGTTGTGGTACCCCTCAAGCAGAGGGACTTTGCCAGCATGTCAGATCTTTGCGGTCCTTATAAATGTAGTCAATCAGATGTGCAAATGGTATAGGTATTTTTCTGAATTGACACAAGTGAGCACAATTGGCAATACGTGCAGTTTTGCATGTGTGCAGTGTTAGAATATTCTCTATTAACTTTAAAAAAAAAAAACATTGCATTCGGGCAAAATCAAGTAGAAGAATTGTGACAAACAGAAAGGTGAGGTTGGGACAGCAGTGAGTAACAATGCAGCATTAGGAAAAAATAGTGTTTAATCAATGGTTTTCCTATCTAGATATAAAAACGACTCCACTGTTTGAAAAGAAAAGACAAATCCATACACAATGTTGACAGTTTCTGATAGTAAATTTAAGGAACCAAAAAGCTTAAAGGACCACTCTAGGCACCCAGACCACTTCAGCTTAATGAGGTGGTCTGGGTGCCAGGTCCTTCTAGGGTTAACCCATTTTTTTTATAAACATAGTTTCAGAGAAACTGCTATGTTTATGAATGGGTTAAGCCTTCCCCTATTTCCTCTAGTGGCTGTCTCATTGACAGCCACTAGAGGCGATTGCGTGCTTCTCACTGTGATTTTCACAGTGAGAACACACAAGCGTCCATAGGAAAGCATTGTAAATGCTTTCCTATGCGACGGGCTGAATGCGCGCGCAGCTCTTGCCGCGCGTGCGCATTCAGCCCAGGAGGAGGATCGGAGGAGGAGAGGAGGCAGAGAGCTCCCCGCCCAGCGCTGGAAAAAGGTAAGTTTTTAACCCTTTCCAGAGCCGGGCGGGAGGGGATCCCTGAGGGTGGGGGCACCCTCAGGGCACTATAGTGCCAGGAAAACGAGTATGTTTTCCTGGCACTATAGTGGTCCTTTAATGAAGGACAGAATGACATAATTCTCATGATAGAGAATGTGTGACATTGAGACCAGAAATATCTGTATTTCGAGTATGTATTCATTCCAAAACAGCCCCCATAATGAGGAGATAACAGCTTACTGTGCTTGTCTTCCAATACATTCAGAATCCATAGAATATTAAAATATATCCAGAATAAGGAGTCCTTTTTCTCTTTACATTTTATAGCTGCTGATGTATAAAATGGCAACATATTGCAATGAGGATTACATCAACAATGATTGCTGGCTAGGAAAAGAGGTTGAGTGGGTGAGTTTGGGAACGGCACCAAAGGAACATTATATCTATTGTTAATGGTTCTGCATACACACATCAATAGTTTGCAAAAAAAAATTGAAGACACTGAAGGGGTTATACCCATTTTAAAATCCTACACATCATTGTGCAAACTTAAATAATTGTATGTTCTTATGCAAGTTGCTAAAAGTTAGACTTCAAGTCAATGCATAACTATAGGTTTCAGCTAAGGAAGTGTTAAAAAGTTTCTCATCCAAGCCAGTTTTGGATAGGTCTTCTTCTTTCCACGCCCTCTAATTCATGGTCTGCCAAAGATTACAAATCAGGAAAAAACAGAACCCGGCATTCGATCAGGCGAGCTTTGCAGCTCAATTAAAACCAGAGTTCTGCGGCATGCTGCTCGCCATTGTGCAGCTGAAGTCACTTTAGCCTAATTAATGCGCTCACATGGCAGCTTATTGAGCAGGATATCTACATTAACCTTGTCATCACTGGTGGAAATGAGCAATTAACAGCACTTAACATCCCCAGAGTGAATGACTTTCTGGTTATATAACTTGAGTGCCTTCCATAGCGAAATTCAACTGCTTCGCTGGTACCACTGTGGGCACCTTGCAGCATTTTACGATCAGGGTAATGTCAGCGTGGTGGGCATTTATTTAGAACAAGGTAAAAATGGGATGGGAGGTAGAGATGTAAAGTCCTGGTTTCCTGCTTTACTTTTCTATGGCCCGTAAGTAGCACTCGCTGGAGTGCTAAGGTAGAAGCTACATATTTCAGCTTTGCACTGCACGTTTGAACAATAATTTTAACAACACTCAATTTGTCTAAAGACGGGTTGAATATCACGAAAAATTTACTGTAATTCACAAACATTTGGAGAACAAGGGAAAGTCATCTTGGCATAATGGGTAGGTTGTAGGCTATTATATACTGTATACATAGACTGGGGGAGCACCAGGGCCGGACTAGGGATAGGAACCAGCCCTGGAAAAAAAAAAAATCCATGCCAGCCCCATAAGTCATTGTGCTATGTAGTGTGTGTTATATATCTATATATATATACACATAATATAGATATATATATAATTGGTATATTTATTTTTCTAATTCAAAATATTAGTCCTTTCAGAGTAATTAAATTATACAGTAAAGCATACTCACATGCAGACACAGACAGACAATCTTACTGATGCACACAAATAAGCTCATTGACAGACAATCTCAATGACACACACAGACAAGGTTACTGGTACACACACAAATTTAGTATGGACAAACTCTGATACACACACAAGCTTACTACAGACAAGCTCACTGTCACACACACACACACACGCTCACTACAGACAAGCCCATTGACACACACACATGCTCCCTACAAATTCACTACAGACAAGCTCATTGACAAACACATGATCCCTAGCTCACTGACACACATACAAGCTCACTCAGTAGCAGGCACACACACAAACTCACTAGCAGGCGCACACACACACACAAGCTCACTCACTAGCAGATGCACACACACAGAAGCTCACACACTCACTAGCAGATTCACACACACAAAGACATCCACACACACAGAGGCAGACAGTCACACACAGCCACACACACACACACACTGACCTGCTTCTTACCGCCACATCCCTTGGAGCTCCTGAAGACTGGTTGTTGGGGAAGCAGGGACTCCTTCCTGCTTCCCATGCTGCAGTTACCCGGCTCATTTAGCCCCGCCCTGCCACATAGTAAGTCCCGCCCCATCACACGCTAACCTCCGCCCCACCACGATATTGTTTTTCGTGTTTTTTGTTTGTTTGTTTTTTTATAATCCCGGCCGGCCATGTGCGAGCTGTGTCGGCCACCTGGCGCCCCCTGCTCCCATGGAGCCCTGTGCGGCTGCACAGGTCGCACATGGCCGGCCGGGATTACAGGAGCCTGATTAATGATGATTAGGGCTGTCAGCCCAGCCCCAGGTGCCGCGGCCTACCGGGAAATTTCCCGGGAACCCGGTGGGCCAGTCCGGCCCTGGGAAGCACCAAGACTATACTAATATGCGCAGATGCTGAGTGACTCCGTTTGGTCAAGACAGTCCTGATAGTGGAAAGTATATATAGAATAAAGAGGAGGGTGCGAGCAGAATGGGGGAGGGGTGTATACATGATGCATCATTTTAAGATGGGTATTTACTTAGAACTCCAGCAGGTTAGCTAGCCAGACCACTAGTGTCACCTATAGAAATGCTGGGCAATGGCCTCACACAGTGGTTTCTGGAGATAGAAGGGCAAAGCTCCCTTCTCGCATATATGTGTGGTTTTCTCCCAACTGCATGCTTTCTATCGGTGATAATCTCCAGCACCAGTAGAGCTGATAAACATGAAATCACTAGAACATCTATTAGCTCTTCTGAGTTAACCCTTGCAGTGCAGGCGTGAGATGAATGCTCTCAGCCCAGAGCTTGACAAATTTGCTATCAATTTAAGAGCCAGATTTTTTTCCAACGAGAAAAATAAAATTCTTAAAGGAACACTATAGTAACCACAACTACTACAGCTTAATGTGCAGTGGTTCTGGTGTCTATAGCTTTTCCCTGCAGGCTTTTCAATGCAAACTCTGCCTTTTCAGTGTTTCCGCGCTCTACGTGGATGCGCTGAAGATTCACCACAGAGATGCATTGAATTAATACACCTCTAGGAGGAGATGATGATTGATAATTGATCATTTCTGCTATGGAGGTGAGCCAGCTGTGACAAGAAACACCATTCTCATGCGATTGGAGGGGGCTGGTAGCCAAAGCATACACATTCACTATCAGAAACACACACATATATACACGCACTGACTGACAGGACAAAACACACACACACATTCTCTCACAAAGTATTATTTATTATTTGATACACTCAAAAAAATACACGATTCAAAGATACACACAGATATACAAATGTGACAGATATACACACACAGAAACAGAAAGAATAAAAAATGCATTGCTTTAGCCACCCTCCTGTTTCCTACCTTTTGGGTTCAGGGTGCCCTATGGGACTGGGAAGCAGCAGGTGGCATCAGGTTAAGAGGACTGGCTGCGGCTGATAGGAATAGGCTGCCGCTGTTCCAGACTTCCCCTCCTCTTGTCTCTCCAGCCCTGTGTAGCTCTCTGTGCACTGGGAGAAATTGAAGGGAACTGTAAGTACTTCCTCCCAGCACAGAGGATGCACAGTGGAATGGGCGGGTGGGCAGCCGGCTCTGTGGAATGGGGCGAGCTGGAGGCCAGCTCTGTGAAATGGGGATGGATGGCGAGCAAAGCGGTCTTTACCTGGTGTCATTCCCCTACGCGGCCTTATCTCTGGAAGGAAGTAATTACAGTTGCCTTTAGTTCCTTCCAGGACACCGGCACACAGAGAGCTACACGGCGATAGACAGAAGAAAGAGGGAACTGGCCGATCAACCCCAGACGCCAGGACAAAATTATTAGCCGCCATGGCAGCCTGAAACCTGGGATTTGTTGATCCCTGTCTCAGCCAATGAAGGGTGGGGGAGGCACCATAACCACTACAGCACATTGCAGTGGATAAGGTACTTGGAATGTTCCTTTAAGAACCACACATATTACAAGGCTAAATTAGATCCTATGCTTTGCAAAACCCAAAGATTCCAATTTTTCTAGAAAAAGACTAACAAGTTTTGCTGCAAACTATGATACCTTTTTTTGAAGCAATTTAAAAACTACACAGATGGTATGTATGAGGTTTATAAACTGTAAGAGTCCCTTTTACATATTTGCCTGATGTGGATTTTACCTCAAATTACTATTTTACATGCTTCCTCAAACATTAGACGCAAGCAAACAGCCCGGTAAATGTACATCATTGTGACCGCGCGTGTATACGGATTCATAAGTATATACATACATAAATATATGCAGTGTAATATGACTGTTCATACAGAAGAGCATCAGTAGGAAGTTATTTTTTTTACCTCAAACTTGATGGAAAATTGCTTGGAGTTGCTTGATTTATGGCTTTTGACAGGTAGCGTCTCTTTAAGTCTAGGTTTTAAATCACAGATCTTACTTATAGGGATCTGCAAAGCTCCTCATAAAGCTTCCTTGTGTTTTTAAATTCCTCCAGCTCATCAGTTATCAAGTATTAGGATCATTTATCAAAGTCAGCCATCTAAATATGTACTGTAATAAAAAGCTTCTGAAATACCTGAACAGTTACTTTTCTCTTATTTATACACAAGCTGCTGTTTTATGGCACATTTTCAATATTCCTTTTCTTTTCTGTTTATACTTCCTAAACTCCCTTAAAACATTTCCCCCCCCCCCCTTTTTTTTTATCTTTATTTTGTCGTGCATGAAAATAACATAGCTGAGCCTGCAATGACCCAACAGCATGTGCAAGTACAAGAATAAACATAACATCGATAACATAACAGTTGGTCAGCCTGTGGAGGAGACCGCACATTTCAGAAGTATATAAGGAGAGTAAAACAAGACATTTTCGCAGAAATACATTTGAGTAAAGGACATAAGTGTAGCTAAAAATGTCCAGGTTAGTTATAGGTGTCAGAGCAAATCTTCAGCCACAGGATACGTGTATGATAAGGAAAGTATGGTGTAAGTGCAGACATGTCAATGTGAGACTAATTAAGGTAACATGGCATCTTACGTAACTCAAACTAGACTTATTGTCCCATCCATAATGCAAGACGAGGGGAGATACAGTTGTATAGTATATTGTTCAACCACTTCATAACCAGACCGTTTTTCAATTGTTTTTACTGTTAAGGACCAGGGATGTTTTTATATTTCTGCTGTGTTTGTGTTTAGCAGTGATTTTCCTCTTACCCATTTACTGTACCCACACATATTATATACAATTTTTCTCACCATTAAATGGTCTTTCTAAAGATACCATTATTTCCATCATATCATATAATTTACTATAAAAAATATATATATATAAAAAAAATTATTTTTTTTAAACACACTTTTTCTAACTTTGACCCCCATAATCTGTTACCCACCTACAACCACCAAAAAACGCCTGTGCTAAATAGTTTCTAAATTTTGCCCTGAGTTTAGAAATACCCAATGTTAACATGTTCTTAGCTTTTTTTGCAAGTTAAAGGGCTATAAGTACAAGTATGTCATTGCTGTTTCAAATAATATATTTTAAAGATGTATCAATAGTGACATTGTTATCGGTCATAAATCTCTGAATCACACCTCACATGTACGTATTTTTTTTTTTTTAAATAGACAACCCAGAGTATTCAATATGGGGTATGTCCAGTCTTTTTTTAGTAGCCACAAACACTGGCCAAAGTTAGCATTTATATTTGTATATGAAAAATGCAAAAACAAATTATGAACGCAAATTTGGCCAGTGTTTGTGACTGTGGCTACTAAAAAGCAGATGCAGACACCTATTGCGGCCATGTGACTGCTCTTTCAGAGCGATCACGTGGCCCACGGGGGCCTAATTTGCCAAGAGGGGACTGTCTTGGCTGTCAAGCAGTCCCCCCAGACGGGAAGCAACACAGATCGCCGGAGGGGGAACGGCGGGTAATATATTTGCTGCGGACGTACTAGGTACATCCGCGGTCCTTAAGTACTGTTTTTTTTTTGTCGGACATACCTAGTACGTCCGCAGTCCTTAAGGAGTTAAGCAAGATAAGTATGTCTATGTGTAAATTGAAATATAGGTAGGTAGAAAACTAAAGCTCATGACAGACTCTGTGTAACGAAGCCTTGCTGCATTGTGAACATATACTGTGCTTATAGGCAACAGGTCCTGGATCGACACCGATAACATGCCTTAATAGATTGTAAATAACATGCTAGGTTCACTTTTCAAGTTAAAACAAACAAGGTATATTTACCACTGCTTTCCCCTTCATCAGAACACTAATGCTCAGCTTGAGGTAAACCCCAATTATATTATCCCGTCCACTACGTTGGTTAAAAAAAAAAAAAATGCTGTAACACAAACTATATCAATGCACAGATCGAGAAATAATGGTACGGGGATACGAGATGGCAGTATCAACCAAATAGCAGACTGCAGGGCGTAGTGGATAAGTCCGGCCCGGTGAGTCCATCTTCAGCCAATGTCAGTACTCGGTAGCTTGTAGAGACAGCTATGGAGCGTTGATACACAGGTGTAGAGAATAACCTCCCTCCCACTCCAGGCCGTGAGGAGGGCCCACATCTTGGTTCCACGGACTCAGGAGCTCACGATAGAGTCTAAGTCCATCCCAGGAAGGTAGTAGCCACAGCTCCAGGTGTTACTTCGCCACCTGCAAGGTTGGGGCTTCAGTCTCTTTGGGTGATGTTGAGGGAGTACATCCCTTAGGGCTCTCAGCCTAGATGGGCCAGTGAAGGTTGATACACACTTATGCATTGTAGGTGTGCCCGGAGGGGGCCTGCTCACTCCCCGTTCGTCTCCACCTGACTTATTCCCTGGCGGGGAAACTAGTGATGGGCTAATAATGTCAGCTGACATGCAAAATGCATCACTGGTGCCTAGTCCGAAGCTTCCTCAATGAAGCAGATGAATTCACGAGAATAAAATGGGCAGAGAGGATGGTGCTCGGAGTGCTTCTTTAAAGAGCAATTTCAGTTTTATTTGGGCCGATCACAGTTGAAATATATCAGGGTTTGGATAACCCCAGGCTTGAGACATACCTTTAGGGAAAATGTCACCCCACCCACCCCCCCACTATCCAGATTGACTTTCAACCGGTACAAGTGACTTTAAATGACTAGTAAAACAAATGTGGTTAAGATGGTGTGGCGCAAGAGTAAACAGGAAAGCAACAGCGTCTGTAGTAACCGAATACAAGAAGAGATATCCAGGGAGGACCAGACAGCAGACAAGACGCTGGTAATCAATATCTTGAGCAAAACGCTGATGTCATCACAAGTAAGTGTACTGGAAAGAGGGTTTGGGTTTGTTCCTACTTACTCCGGGGATAAATTATATACCGATATTGAGATGGAGCATTTTTTCCAGACGGTTCGCTTAAAGGGATTTTTTCATTTACAGGATTACCACATGGACCAAGATCAGCAGAGGGAGAAAGCAGAGTCTACTAAATATGACTGAGCAAAGTGCAGACCTAAGAGTAGATTTCTCCCTCCTCTGACTAATGCCAGTATCGAGACTTTCGTCAGATCCTGCCAGATGGACATAGATAAGATTCAATGGAAAAGGAAGCATAAATACAATTTAAATAGAAGTGAAATGCTGACACTTTGTGAGCTGAAAGAGGACAACTTTCTATCGAACAGACCAGCCGACAAAGGAGGTGCCCTGGTGGTTATGGATACTCAAAAATACGAAGCAGAAATGGATCGAAAATTATCAAACATGCATCATTACAGGATCCTTGATGGTGATCCAGCAGGTGAGCTATGTGCTATAATAGATGGAATTACTAGGAAGGCTTTAGAGGATGGGTTGATTGAGAAGAGAGATTTCAATTTCCTCAATGTGGATAACCCTAAGACCCCTTTCATCTATTTGTTGCCTAAGACCCATAAGGACCTGTGGAATCCACCAGGGCGCCCCATTGTTTCTGGGTGTGAGTCGATGCTGCAGCCGTTAGTGAGTGGGATGCGCTCCTTTGTGCAGGATACTACGGATTTTATCCGCAAGCTTGAAATGATGGGGGATATACCCGATGGCTCCTTGATGCGTACCATGGATGTCAACAGCCTATATACCTCCATACCGCATGAGGAAGGTATTGAGGTGGTATTTGGTGCCATGCAGGATATGGATATGAGCGAGACGTACAGGGGATTACTTGTTGATTTGCTGTCACTAGTACTGTATAAGAACTACTTTATTTTTTAGGGTAAATATTACCTCCAAATACAGGATACAGCGATGGGGTCAAATGTAGCACCGACGTATGCCAATCTATTCATGGCAGCTTTTGAGGATACTTTTGTATACCAAGACCAGGATTTTATGCGTCATGTGAGGTTGTGGCTCAGGTATATAGACGATATTTTCTTTTTTTGGACAGGTAACGTGGATGATCTAATGGTTTTTAAAGAGAAACTTGATGGGTGTTTGGACATCATCTCCTTTACGTTGGAATATGATCTCCATGAGATGCATTTCTTGGATGTTAATCTACAGATAAGAGGAGGTCGTCTATCATTTGATCTGTACCAAAAGCCTACAGATCGGGTTTCGTACCTGCATGCAGATTCCTTTCACCCAGTATCATTTATTAAGAATTTGCCATATGGTCAGTTTGTCAGGGCATGCAGAATAGTGTCTGATGAAGCTAAATATGACACTAGGGCTGAACAACTGGTGAAAGCATTTTCATCTAGAGGATATGAGACTGATGTGGTTACTGGATATAGGGATAGGGCGAAACTGCTTTCTAGGAATACCCTCTTGCAGAAAAGAGCTAGGGATGGCAATAAAGGCATCCCATGTGTGATGACGTAATTGACTCACTTTGGTGAGGTTAAACACATCATTAACAAGCACTGGAAAATTTTACAATCTGATCCTAAACTTCTCCCTTGTTTTAATGAGAGACCTTTGTTTTCATTTAAGCGACACAAGAGCCTAAGGGACCATCTAATGAAGAATGTCAATCTACAGGAGAAGACGGATACAGCTGATACCTGGCTTTCTGTGATACCGGGTATGTACCGCTGTGGGCATTGTATTAACTGCAATGGGGTGATCATTTTACACACCCGAGGATGGGTAGGAGATACCCGATTTGGGAATTTTGTAATTGCCAGTCTCAGTTTGTGGTGTACATGCTCAAATTCCCTTGTGGATTAACGTATGTGGGTGAAACCATGTGTACGCTCACTACAAGGATCAGGGAACACAAGAGCGGCATACGGACGAATAAGATGCAATATCTGGTGGCCAGACACTTCGCTGAGAAAAGACATACAGTTTCCCAACCGCGGTACATGATATTGGAGGTGATTAAATCCAATAGGGGTGGCATTTTGCAAGTGGTTAGGCTTAAACAACGTGAGGTATACTGGATTTACGAGCTGCAGACTTTGTATCCTAAGGGTCTGAATGAGGATAAGGACCTATCACCATTTCTATAATCCTGACATTTTACTCTGCCTACGTTTTGTCTGTATCTTTACATTTTGTTTTTATTTCCTTTATAGATTGGAGCTACAGTGGCCATTTGGACCATGGTACTTGTGACGTTCGTGTGCCGGAAGATATTGAATCGATTAGAATGTATCATCATACACGTTGAATTGATTCACGTCTTTGTTATGATGACCCATTATGTGCATATATAGTTTGTATCTCATACTATAGCAAATTTTGTTTATATAAATTATGGCTTATGATTATTTATATATTTAGTATACTGACAGTATTGAACGATGGTACCCATGACTACGAGAGCTTTTTGCCAGGAGTAGTGTTTTTTTGTGGGTGGTACGATGTTTACTTATGCTATGTTTATGCGGTTAGTATGTGTATAGTCAGTGTATAGGTTGATGAAGGTGATGTAAAAATGATTTTTTTTTATATTATATACATTTATAATGGATTCTTCAATAACACTGATATATTTCTATGTTTCCAAAATTATATATGCTTGTGATGAATTCTTTAAATATGTTGCTATATCTCTAAAATTGATGATGAATAGCCTCTTAATATGCGGGTCACATTGTATTATATTGTCCTGTGCATAATATGAATATTTTTTTTTTATTTGTTTGTGTAAATAATTATGGCAATATAGTTATTCTTGTAAATATATTGAATAATTACTTTTTGGACTGACTTACACTACATAGCTAAGTAGTTAACATGTACTATATGGAGAACCACTGTGTATTGCATTATTATTGCCTATTTGGCACCTGTAGCGATCAGTCTATTACACATTGGGTGTTTGTTGAATTAAAAATCTTTTTTTGCACATCACTTTTTGGTTTTCTTTTGTGTTTTGTCTTGTAACATTTGTGGGAGATGATTTTATGTATAGGTTCACTGATCACATTCTATTTATAAGGTGGATCTATGATTATTTATTCTTTATCTCTTTATTATTTTATTAGTCCTCTTTAGCATGTACATATGTAATACATATCCTGTATATCTGTATGGGGGGTACTGATATTTATGGAGTATAATTTGTAACATGGTGGATGGTATCCACTATTAGTTAGAATGTTGATGATTTATTGTACTATTTTAGATACTAGTTGCCATCCTCTGTGAGTGGGTGGTCTCTTAGAATGATAGGGTACCTCAGTGGTTGACGATACAGTATTCGTTAGCGTAGTAGAAGCGCTGCGCCTGCGCGGTTTGCCGCTATGCGCGGCACTTGTAGTACGCATGCGCGGGCTAGTGTTGCGCGCGGCGGTGACTATTGCTAAAGGCGCTCGCTTGCCAGTGAGTAAAATAGCGATTATAGACGCCAGATATAGTGTGAGCATACTTACGGTCTGTATATGTACTAGAGGTTCGTTATCAGAGCAGTAATATTTATCATTATTTTAGGTTATATGACTTTCGTTACTCTGTGAATGTCTTTAGTGCACACAATTGGTTCTGATATGATATTACTATGTTATTATTGAAATATTGTGCCAGCACTCGAAGTGATGATGTCACTTCCGGAGTTGGTAGAAACCTTATGCTGATGACCATCAGCTGTAAGAGGGTTTTATAAGCAGGCACATGTGAACATGGATACAGGTACCCTTGATAAAGGCAGCCAGTTGGTGCCGAAACGTTGGGGGGTTTGGTGACTCGTGTTTCTGTCTTGTGGCTTGTAAGAATCTTTTTGGTATTTTACCATTACCATTATTTTACCATTACTTTATTGTATTTGCCCTTGCTTCTGTCATTGTGTTTATTTTTCTTGTATGTTTTCACTTTGGTACTTTTTGTACATAATAAAGCTAAGTTTTTTGAGATTGTTATAGTGTGCATTCTATATTCTATAGATATTTGGATATTTGAAACATTTGAGGGAGTGTTTATATGGTTTCCACCTGGCTATTTTAATACAACTTTGTCTCTCCATGTCCTGTTGTTTTAAGATGGTGTGGCTGCCATGGATACTCTTCCAAACTATTCTAGTATCACTCCCTCATTGCTTCTCCATCAGGAGATATTAATGTATAGCCCAAATAAACCATCTTTGATTCGTTTGACAAAATAAATTGTTCTACTAGTATGCAAAATCTGGTTCCCCTAGTTCTTCATAACTTAAATTAGCCCAGCCCTCCCAGCCTATCTATGCCATCCCCCCATGGACAGATTATATATGTGACAGAGGCATCACATTTCTTCCAAAACACAAAAAGTGACACAGACCAAAGGAACTGCAACACAATATTCCCTGCACTATATCCACTACAAAAACATGCATTGATGATGTCTTTAAAGTGTCACATTAATTGTATGTAAATTCTACACATTAACCATATCTCAAACCCCAAAGGATTTATTTACTTGCTCTCCGTCCTTCTAATGCAATGGAGAGCATAGGGCACAAGTGGCCTCCAAGCACTCTCCTGTGTCCTATCTGTGTGAGAATCCTTGAAGTCTGGCTGAGCAGCAAGAGAAATCAAACATCTGCACATCAATGACAGATGTATTGGCCATGCCTAAAACAGTACTGTCTTACACCAACCCTTTTATTTGTATATAATTCAAAATGAAGTTTGATGGTCTTGATGCTGCATCTTCATCCTCTTTAGCTCTCTTTTTGCTATACTCTTATTTATAAACTAATTATCTGATTTATTCCAATCCAAGACACCGGAAAGAAGCCCAATGACTGCAGAACATATTTATATCAGAAGATTAAATGATCTGCTGGCGATCAAAGGAGCAGCTGATCTGTTTGCGATTACAGGCAGTGTTTGTGTAACTGAGGTCACTGTGTGTATATTGTAGAAAGCTCTGTTTGCCATACATGCAGTACATCTCCCATAATTTTGTGGGTGCTGATAACACATGTGATGCCAGTATTCAGAAAAGCAGGGAAGACAATTTAAACATGTTTAAATTCTCATGCAGGGTGTCAGATGATGCGAACAACAGGACCAATTAAATAAACAAGATTAACTCGATGGGGCTAGATTTGTTAAAACAATCGTATATAGTTAGCCAGCCTTATCCAAATGTGTTTTTAAAAATATCTTCTAAACAGCTGAACTGAAATCCTTAAAAAATGTTAACACAACATGCAGACAGTTGTTCAATACTCGTGTGATTTATGAAAAATCTCTCTTAACGGACAGGTCTGCTTTATATACAGATTTAGGAATGTTACATAGTTCTTCACATACCAGAAGTTTTGCTTTAGCTTAAGAAGAGAATGTTAAAGAGATTCTATGAAAGTTTTCTGTAGGATACAAATTCTTAATATTTAGCTATATGCTGCTTTAATTGTCAATTACATTAAAGGAACACCAAATTTAAAATACATATTAAAACATTTTTAAATCAGATATATTTGGAAGCTTTTGAATGTTGTGAGCACTCAGGTCTGGGATGTGGAGAGGAAGGTCCTTGATCGACGGGGATGGAGGTGGGCCCAAAGCCGACATGGTTCTGTTGATCATCATGTAGACTCTCCAAAAATCTGACAGGACTGACATGCACAGGAGAAGGCAGAGGACTGAGTTTTTGCTGTATGGTGACCTACTATTACCTGGATGAGTCGCTGTGACAGCTGAACCCACCTTTTGCCCTGCATAATTTTGTTTTATTTAGACCTGTTGCCTTTATCTCTTTTCTTTTACTTTAAAATATGTGCAGTACCCCTTGCCAATGTGCCTAATCCCAGTGGTGCTTCTAGTTTAACCCTTATAAGAAAGTAAAGGTCCTTGCTTACTGTTAGAAGCATAGGACCTATATCCAATAGATGACAAATGGAGGTCATCTCACACGTATCTAGGAACACTAGACAGGTTACTCTTCTAGAAATACTACACTGAGTAAAGTAGAAGCATGACAGATTACCCAGTTCCAGTGGTCTTTTCTCTCTTATACTAGGCCTTAGGGTGGCCGGACTTAACATAGATAGACGTATAGAAAAGGGTAGAGAATAGTCAGACAGGCCAAGGTCAGGAGAGGAGACGGAAGGATAGCCATAGAACAAAGGCAAAGGTCAAGGATACCAGAGTAATGGAAAAAAAATATACAAAGACATGGGTTAAACATACCAGAAAAGTCAAAACTGCACTCTCGGGCTACAAAGACCATGACAGGGCAAGGAAGTGATGTCAAAAGCGAGGTATAAATAGGTCTAGGTGTGTGTTTATAGGCTAGGGAATTATGCTAATTAGGGAGCAAGTATAAATAGAGTGCATTTATTGGGCTACTTCCCCTGTGTGCTAATTAATAGCTTCCCACTTACAAAGAATATTCCATAATAAATAGTTTGTACATTTAAAAGTACATATTTAAATATTTTGTAAAAAAAAAACCTAAAGCTATTCACCAAAAAAAGGTTAACGATGGAGTATAGGGATACAGAGGTTTACAACATCACATCACTCATGGACAGTGGAGATGTGAGGGACTGTAACTACCATTTATTACACCATGTGAACCTAAAAATAAATATATCCATGACCGATCTGCTTTAAGATAACACATTATAACTTGAATTCATAATATATAGGTGAGTGGATTTGATGATTTTGCACAACCAGTGATTTATGCAGAATCTGACATTCCGGCAAGTCGCTCTGCCGGGATTATTCTATATTTATCATTACTAGCAAAATTCAGAGAGATTTTTTTTTTTTTTTTTTTAAATACGGTTTCAACTAATCGTGTCTTATAGTGTTTTTAATATTACTTATATTTTCTTAGATTTTCATATTGCAGTTTAAAATTTCATTACAGGGATACTGCAGCTTTTTTGTGTTAAAAGAGGAATCATTTCGTTATGCAAAAGTGGAAATAATATTGACTTGTTTTGTATGGCAATGAACCTAGGAATAGAGATTTTGCCATCCACATACATTAGGAAAACAGATTTGCACCAACAAATGGTACAGCCAGACACTGGAACTGAATCCAAGAATACTAGCTGCACAGTCAATAGGAGAGTCCATGTCCTTAAACAAAAACCTAAGGAAACAACATACATTGATACAGTTTGCAGAGTGTGCCGTTAACCAGCAGAGCTTTTTAATCACTAGTTGGCATCCTGGCACAATGTGATAATTAGCTGCACATGAATGACTGGTTAACACTTCTACAAGAAGCCATGCCCCCTAGCAAACCGTACCAAAACATCCTGACTGATGGAGAGATTTGCCAAGCCACTAACTAAATGGTCACAGAATGTGACCACTGCATTTTGTACCTAAGCACACTATTCCTAATATGTTAGAATAAGAAAAAAAAAATACTCACATTGCTCCTAAAAATTGAAAGGCGTGTAAGGCAATATCAATTAAACGAGCAATCTAAAGTTAGAAATAAAATGTGTATATTTTTTGTTTCTACTTGAAATTTATTCCACCATAACCACCATAAATAGCTTACATTGGCGGCTTCCCCTATTGGCGGGTGTGGTGTATCATTCACATGACTGCATAACTTCATACATTTAAAAATAATCTTAGTCATGTGCCAATCCCTACATCGACTCATAATTAGTATTACCAAGATCCTGAGTTTTCCCATAAAGAATAAAGGGGGGGGGAGGGAATAGAAAGAGTACCGAGCCTCTGGTGATGACCGACCCTGTCGACAGTATGGACTGACGCAATAGATTAGTAACACCCGAATGTTCACTCGGACCTCTGACCCTCCCCCAACCCCAATTTTTTTCCCCCTCTGCCTATTCCATATACTGTACACAAGCTGCTGTAATTAGAGCCACCAACATGGACTATATACTCCCTGGCCCTCTGTTATTCTTAGAAGCCTTAAAAATACATAGACAAGTTGTGTTATGTGCCTTTATTCCTTGTTTACTCCCATGTAACCCTTATATTATATAGGCAGTGTACAACATACCAAATTTAACTTCATCCTGAAACCCAGGCAATGTTAAAGCCAATTTTGAATGCTACTGTATTGTTATCCTAAAGAAAGCGTCCCGTGTATATCTAATGTTAGAATGTAGGTTAATTGGCCCCCTGAAAGAATAAAATATGGAGCTTTTACTTACCTTTAATTCCACGCCGCTCCATTCTTGCAGCAGCCGTTGCTCCTCCCCTGGCTTAGAACTTCATTACTGATGATCTCAGACAATTCAGTGACTCTCCACAGAGAAGCACTGGGGCCCCATTGTATATCTATGGTGAGTGTTTGGAGTCTTCATGCAGTATGTGCTAAATGTCGGTCTTGCAAAGATTACAGGATCACAATAAGAAGAACCCTTGTTGTCTGAATGACAGCCACATGAGGAACCCTCACATAGCAATGTAAACACTGTCTCTTTACAGAAAAGGCAGTGATTACGGTGCAGAGACAATCTACTTGCACCTAAATCTCTACAGAATATATATATATATATATATACACATATACACATATACATATACACACACACGCACACTAAACCCTTATAGCATAGCTTTGCAATATATACTCACACTGCTGGTAATCTTTGGGTTAAAAACAAGTTGAACCACCGCCTATTGACTGGAGAAGAAATATGGGAAATGTTAAACTGTACATAAACTTTAAGGAGGGATGTGTGGAGTGACCTGCGGCATTTACCCAGAGCGAACAACGTAGGATCTTGAAAGCATGAATGAATTCAATACACGAAGCGCTGACCTCATGCTCGTTTGATTTGAATTACACATCAATACTGCAAGTATGATACTTGTGCCCGTTACAAGCAATTATAAGTGATGAAACGTGTAATGCTTTGATTATTTCACTAATTAGAGAGCCATGACGAGTTATTTATTTAAGGAATGAAAAGTGATTTATCCAGGCCTGGAATGCAGGATTTGTGTTCTATAACCAATTGTGTACAGATTTAAGGGATGTAATTATATTCCATTTTATTACAATTTCTTTTCCTTTCCTTAAAATAATAATAATAATGTTAAATCTCCCCCTATTATAATATTTAAAAGCACTACTGAATATGTTGGCACTGTATACATGCCAATAATAATAATAATAAAATAATAATTATATTAAAATACACAATTATATTCAAAATAATGATTCTTAAATATGCTGGATCAGCAAATGGATATTAAAGGACCACTCAAGGCACCCAGACCACTTCAGCTTAATGAAGTGGTCTGGGTGCCAGGTCCTTCTAGGGTTAACCCATTTTTTCATAATTATAGCGGTTTCAGAGAAACTGCTATAATTATGAATGGGTTAAGCCTTCCCCCTAATCCTCTAGTGGCTGTCTCATTGACAGCCACTAGAGGCGCTTGCGTGCTTCTCACTGTGATTTTCACAGTGAGAGCACGCAAGCGTCCATAGGAAAGCATTGATAATGCTTTCCTATGTGACCGGCTGAATGCACGCGCATCTCTTGCCGCACGTGCGCATTCAGCCGACTGGGAGGAGGAGAGCTCCCCGCCCAGGGCTGGAAAAAGGTAAGTTTAACCCCTTTTCCCCTTTCCAGAGCCGGGCGGGAGGGGGTCCCTGAGGGTGGGGGCACCCTCAGGGCACTATAGTGCCAGGAAAACAAGTATGTTTTCCTGGCACTATAGTGGTCCTTTAACCTTTGAAGTTTATTGAAAATTGGAAGAGTTTATAAAAGATATTTCCAGACATGGGTTTGCATGGACAGTGCTTCCCCAACCATTGAGATGTAATGGTTTTGGTGCTTAGAGTGTCCTTACAGAGTGTCCTTTTAAACCCTGGCATATAGTACATTTCATGTATTGAAAGCTCCACAAGAGCGTTCCTTTGGCAAGAGCTTTGTACAGCAGTTTGTGCTATGCCTAAACCTCACATTAAAATATACTGCTTTGATTAATCCACTCTAGACTTGGACAACTTTTGTCTCTGGTCATCTTGTTGCCCCATAAGGCCTTCATACCCTAATGGTCAACTTGTGGTTAATTTTATCAGGGTTCATTTGTCGCCAAAAGATAAAAATGTTCTTACTATGTAGCCACAGGTTATATATAAGATGTTTGTTATGTGAGTGGAGCCAGATATTGCAGAACAATATTTGGTCATAGCAGGGCAAGGTTTGCTAATTTGTTAGTGATTTGGTGGGGTATTGTGAGCACCCCAAAGCTGAACTTTAAGACAACAGTCCCTCCATTCAGTGTTGCACCATGTTTGTGCAGTATGCCACAAAATAAGAGTCCCTGGCCACCCACAGCCCGGCCCCTTCTGTATGTGTAGCTAAGGCAGAGCTTACACACTTCCTTGCTGTCATACCCATTCATACCGTCAGTTGGAGCTCTGACAGGTTAAAATCAGCCAGCTGACACACTCAGCCAATCACAGCTGCCCATTGCCTCTCAGGGTAATACTTCCTTATTAGCCAAAGCAGCACAGAGGGGATAGACTGCCAGGGTGATAGGGCTCTGGGATATGTGAGTTTTTTTTCCCTTAGATTTTTCTTCTTTCTATATTATTTTATACCCAGATGGTCTGCACTATTATTTGTTTGTTTTTTATATTTACAGATTAATTTAGTGCGCTTTTTTGGTGTAATTATTGCCGGGGACTCTTGTTTGGCATATTACAACATTACAAATGATGGTACTAGGAGACTCCAGAAACTATAACCAGTTTAATGAGATGAAGTAGATACAGTGCCTACGGTGTCCCTTTAAAGGGCAAGATAATTATGGGTAACACCTACGGTAACAGGGACAGTCAAAATCGTGTAGTGCAGGAACCCAAATGATACCACATCAGACCAAATGAACATTGCTGTAAATTTAGCAGAGAGAAGAATTCAGGCAGCATGCCGATGTAATGAGATAAAAAAAAAAAAAAAAAACTGTATTAAACTTTGTTGTGCCAGGAAAGAAGGGGGTGTAAATGTAGGAGAAACAGTGAATTTGTCAGCAGATAGGAACCACTTGGGCCACCCACAGAGTAGTGCCCATATATGCTGCAAAAACATTGTTGGACATACCTCAAACTCTTACACTGTTCTTTCACATCCAGTATAGCTTTAAAAAAAACAAAAAACATAAGAACAAGAACACACTATTTGACGATGAAGAGGATAAGAAATTGCTAATGTAAGATAATAATATTTGAAATAATGGACAGAAGAGAACTGAAAAACAGTTAAGGCGTTTAAAAAGCTTGAGTGTTTGTACGATCCAAAAGACAAATAATCAAGCACAATCTTTGTGAGATTTCATAATACAAGGACGTCAGGCATCAATTGGCTCTTACTTGCAATAAACCATATTTTCATGTCAAATATAAATGCCTCACATTAAGAGAGGATGGTAAGTAATACTCCATTTCCATGAATGGAAATGCATCACTATCTGTAGTTCTTGCAAACACAAGTGTTCATTTTAAAACTACCTGGGCTCACACTGTCCAACTCGCTGGTCTCCTACACTCTTACAGTCCAAGTCGTCTACCCTAGACTTCCAAAATTAGAGCCAGAAAACCACAATCAGAGCCAGACCTGTCACCCCCATGTTTACTACCTAGAATATGTTGCATTATGTTTCAAAATATATCTAGTACATATCAAAAAAATGCATCTCTGGGTGGGCGTGGCCGACAGCGATACCGAGTAGACGTCTATTAGCAGAGCTCCGCTCGGGCCCAGAAACATACTCCAAAAGAAAGTAACGATTACCACAGCGATACAGATCGAGACAGACACCCCTCAAGCAGAGACAATGAGGCAAAAAAATAAGACAATTCACGACCCAGCTGTTCCCCGCCAGCCAGATATACGGATCTCTTTCAAGTGGCCAGTGATCCCACAGAGCACAAAGAGGGCATCTGAGGCCCACTGTGCACATGCAGCATCTGAAGCCTCCCTAGGCTAGGAGGAATCCTTACCCTCTCCTCGATCGGAAGCTCCTGCTCATCAGAGTCAGAGGAGGACAAGACACCTTCCACAAAGGGGGACATAAAAAGATTCCTGGCAGAATTAAGGGAAAGTCTGGGGAGCCAACCTTAAGAAAGTCCAAACAGAGGTGGAGGAGGTGCGCCAGATGGTCCATGACCTAGAAGAATGTGAGACATCCAGAGAAAACAACCTCTCAGGTGCACCAACTGAGACACGACACTGGCGAAAAAACCTGCACCTCAGGGGGGTCACCGAAACAGTGGACAACGAGCAGCTCCTACCTTATATCAACAACCTTATAACTAACATGGGCATTGGAGGCAGAGATGACATGCCACGGGTCACCTCGGCATTTCAAGTTCAGAAGTTAGCGGCAGCACCCAGTGAAGCACCAGAGACATCATCATGATGACCCGGGACATCTCCACGAGGTCTGCTATCATGATCCGATCCAGGGAAATGGGGATGATTCCTCACGAAGAACACAAGGTGGCTGTATACCCCGACATACCATTTTCTGTCCTCAAGGAGAAAAGAAAACTGGCATCTATAGCCAGACAGATGCAAGAATCTGGCATATGATACCGCTTGGGAGTGGAGGGATCCCTCCTAACTGAAATTGGGGGAGAGAGTTTCACACTGGCATCGGAAGATGATCCGGAGTTCTTCCTTTCACAAGTGTGCCTGTCCGCCAAGCCAAGACAGGGACTCTCCTCGCCTACCAAGAGACCTGAGGAACCGGAGGGCTCCAACAGCTGCATACACAGCAAGCCGCCCAGCAATAAAGTCAAGAGACTCACACCATCACCCAGAGCCACAGATCCATGATCCTCTAAGTAGAGGAGGGATCGCCCAGTGACTGGTACCACCAGGGACTCCCTTTGGTAATTTTGATTAGCCCACTAATTTACCGAGGCCCGGCAACCAGCCTTTATGGACAGCATTGCGGCAAACAAACCGCTACAGTTATTGACACTTAGTCAATGTCTCATTTCTTGTTCCCATTGAGATTCCAATGTGATTACACATGTTTTCTACCTAAATATATTGCGAAAGTTGTACACGCTAGTTTCAACTTAATAAAAATACAACAACAAAAAAATGCTCCTCTGCCAGAGAAATTTAAAGAAATGTTTGGAAGACTGAGATCAGCCACTTGCTACGCTGTTATAGCACAAACTGACATCAAAGGTTTTTCTGCGTAGATGAATAGTTTCCTTTGCCTTCTTAGCAGCTTTGCTGGATGTGCTTAGTCTAAGCTCTTCCAGTTTAAATGTGTCATATCCACTGTTTACATTGTTCCAATAAATGCTTTTCATGGCTGTGCTATCATATCAAACTGAAAGGAATATATCAAAGGCCAGTTTGTATCAGGAACATAAATAAAAAGTAAATATACGACACGCACACAGACGGTACCTTTCAAATAACATTAAAAGGACTATTACGTGTTTATGTGTAGTGTACACACTTGTGTGCAGCATATTAAAAGCGCTCCTTAAACTGTTTCTTTAAGCTGTTAAAAAGGCCACATGGAAGTTACAGGTCCGCTTTGAATTAATGCTGTCAGAGTTTCTGTTCAAACATCCTGAATGGAATAGAAACCGTGTCCAGCATGCTTAAGAATAATACACAAATTGTAAATCTTCGTTCCCATATAACAATGCAGACTTGATGGATATCTTAGTTGTATTCTTATACTCCAGCACTGGCCTAACAAACCATAGCAATGTCCTTAAGATTAGTGATGGTTGTGAGAGGCACCAACAATTCTAGGTAGGCCTAAATTCAAATCCTTTTCTGTCTTCCATAAACACTGCTACCGAACAGATTCTGATTTTCTCACCACCTGCCTTGACCCCTTTGGAAATTCCACTTTGTAAAAAAGTTCTGACAGCCATATGGTTAGTTAGTCCTTTTACCCAGCAGACCAAAGAGGTTTAATCATGCTCTCTAAATCTATTGAGTCTTGCCAAGTAGTCATCTGGCTTCCGTTGACTGCCACAACGATCAGCTATCTAAAAAGAAAAGTGTCAAATAACGACTAGTGCCAATACCATATCCCTCTATCTCATGTTATTCCTTTACCAATTTCTCCCTCTTTTGCTTGCAAATTAGTTTCTCCAGCTGACCTTGCGGCGCATTAGTCAGCAAATGCTGATCTTTACAATGGTTTCCTTCTTTCCAAGGACAGGGCTGAAATAAATATTGCAAAGGACAGGCAGACATTTACAGCTTTACAAAAAGATTAAATCATGATAATGTGCTGTAAAGGTTTCCATAGCATTTTTACAACTGTACTGTATTTCAAAAAGAAAATGAAAAAAACAATGTAGTATTTAAAGCTCTCACGTTAAACTCATCCTGAGCATCCCTCTCATAAAAAACACATACAATGTACTTCTAAGTAGACTCGGTTTGTGAGGAACTTTTAAAAAAACTAAGGTACAATGCAGAGTTTCCAAATGGTCTCAGAGAAGGGTTACGTAAACACCACTACTCCCGAAATAACTTAGTATGTGGCATTAAAGACTGATTAGACTTTACTCTAACAGAGCCGTTCCCAGCTGGACCTAATATATGATAATGAGGGCACAGACGTGCTCCGCTGTCCTTGCGTAAGTCTGACATCTGTTGCAATCATATGGCTGTGTGTCATGATTACATTAGCCCTTTATTCCAGCAACACAAACCTTCAAAAGCATTGTGCATTATATATATATATATATATATATATATATATATATATATATATATAAAGTAAAACAAAGTCTGTAAAATGTATTGATAAAACAAAAAATCATGCAGAGACAAAGCTGGAAGTATAGGGGTCACTGGTTGATCTCCAAACAGAACATCATGTTTCCCACAGTTACAAGTAACAGCTTGATGCGTTTATTGTAAGGTACTATATTGCATGTTTTAGGTGTATTGGCTGCTCCACTGTCCAAAACTTGTACTGCACCTGAAACTAATATGGCTAAATGTTAATCTGAATTTACAGTGACTTCAGCTGGGAATGTTCCAGAGTAAAGAACGTGTGTTGAGTACCCACCTTTACTATGGTAAGGCTTGTTCGCCTTCTTCGTTAAAAGCAGTAATATTCCACATTTTATACATATACAACCCTGGGTGGGATGACTTTGCGGATGACAGTTACTGAAGCGTGTTATTCGTTTCCAAGTGAATAATTCCCTTTACATGAACCTGTGCTTCTCTGTGGGAGGTGATTACATCTTGCTATTGCTGCAGAAAAATACTAACCGTGCATGCTGGTAACTTTAAAGAGGAAAACTAGCAAGAACAAATGTTCAATCCTGTCACAGAACACACATCTGTAGATGAAGCATTCTTTCTTCTGATCCTATCTGGCAGCAACACAGTCTTGTTTTTAATATGCTCCCTACCTGAGTAAATCAAGCTATATCTACACTGACCTACAGTGTAAAAAAAGAGACATCAAACTCAGTTTCACACATGGCAGCACTAAAACTGGAAACATAGCAATTCAAAAGGAGTCAATGTGACACCAGACACCAAATAAAACTCAATATGTGACGCTCTGTCTCCATTTTCTGACATTTAATGTGCATTGGCCGTTTCAAAAGCAGGTAGAAGACGCAGCTTTAACTAAAATCCCCAGTATCAGGCAGCTTGCTAAGGAGGAGATGGGTGTAATTCCCACTTTACTGCAATTCAGAAGTTAGTTCCATGCCAGCTGTAATGTAACCTATGTACCACACTATAATCTTCTCATGCCAGTTGGTGAGCTACCTCTGTAAAAACATTATATGCATAGGTGACAAGAGTCACACATTTTCTGGGACAGTCAATCATTTTTCCCCAGCAAAAATAGATGCAGTAGACTTGCAGGATAACACACGTCAATAGGACCTTGCACAGAGCCCTTTAGCAGCACTCTGTGCAAGGTCTGCTTGAGAGTGCAGGCTGTCAGTCAGCTTGGCTACGCTCTTTAGGTACAGATTCCCTGCAAAAAAACCTACTCTGGGCCCTGTCCACCACTGTCCAGGTAGGCAGTCATCTACAATAAGTGGTCATACCTGGTGACCTACCTCTGTACCACACTGTAAGCTGGCAAGCTACCTCTGTGAAAAGGTGATATACATGTAAAAATAAAGACTGCAGGATGTAATCGCTTTCGTTTCATGCTTAAACCACAAGCTGGTGGTCTTTAGTTTAACAATCTGCCCAACTGGGAATTAATCATTTAATTATTCCATTTATTTAGCTGTCAATCTCAATAGGATATGCTAACAAAACAAATCACTAATCTCTTCCAACTGTGCTCTACAGATAATATGGCAGCCTGTGAGCACCGCAATCAGAAGAGGCAAGAACTATTTTTTATTTTACTGAAAATTATAGACGGTTTACCAGATAAACAAGTTGTGTTGGAGGAAAACATAATTAAAAATATCCTTTTGCACACTATCCAGAAAGAGATTAACACTGGGATATCCAAGATGGGAAATGATGCAATTGACGATGTGGCAGGCTTATGCAATGTATGATCATATAATGTAACTAAACCCCCATTATTTTTTGCCTAGATTAGGTGTTTTTAATGAAACTAACAAAAACGGTCAGCACCAAAATAGCGCTTATTGGCCCCCAGCAGCACCCCATTTAAGCATGTTCAAGTGAGTGCAGCCAACCCCTTGTTTTCTCCTATATGTATATATATATATATATATATATATATATATATATATATAGTTTATCCCCTTTTATGACTTGCAAAACAGTTGTGGCTTCTGTGCAAAACAGTTGTGGCTTCTGTGTTCTCCAGTGCAGCCATTTTTTTTTCTTTCTTTTAAATAGATGTTCCACATAGCCACACTGGATCTCTCCACCTCTGGAGTAGCAAAGTGACCAGCAATATATCTATCTCCATTGTAACACTGACCTGCTATTGATTGTACACTAATATATGTAAGAGCTCAATATTGTATACGAAAAGTCTTTGGTGTTTTTTAAAGAGCCTTCATAGAGGAACAAAATGTGGGGCCCATTTATTTATTTATAAAATATTCTACCAGTAAGGATACATTGAGATTTGTGTCTTCAACAGGAACATTGAAAACTCCTTGTTCAAGCAATAATATCCTGAGAACACAGTTTGCTACAGAGTTCTAAATACACGTTTTGAGAATTTTTGCTCAAGTATGTGGTCATGTACACCTTATAGGATGATTAAGTGATGGTTGTTGCATGCAAGTTGTGTGCAGTGTAAATAAATGATAGACAATACACAGGTGGAATGGAATGTATGACTTGGAAGGAAACACCTTCAAAAACCAATCTGATATTGCCTATATTCATCACGTTGCTTTCAAACAGAGAAAATACTTGCTGGAATATATTATCTTCTGCAGGGTCTCTCTCTTCTTACATCGCTTGTGTTCTACAAGACACTCATAACAAGAGAGATAACGGAAGTTGTAACTTAGAAATTTAAGGCTCTCTGTGCTCATACTGAAGGTGTGAAGCAGTTCCCAGCAGACCTACTTACAATTGGGAGGTAATAGGGTACTCATGGCCCATAACCACTAGAGTAAATTGTAGTAGTTGAGGTGTTTGGAGTTTTCCTTTAATGATCTTCTATCTCTGTTAACATTTATAAAAAAAAAAAAATGTATCAAAAATCATTAGACAAGTAGACTACTGGCTGAATTTCAGCCATTGATCAACTTACACAGCAGTAGAAACAACAAACGCACTGAGGCAACCAAGACAATACTCTTCCTTTCAGGGATGGCCACATTTGAACTCAAATATCAACCTTTCTAATCCATGTTAAATAATTCATAATGAAGAACTTTATGGAAACCATCAAAAGATATCTTCAGATGTTAGAGAAAAGTAAAAATAGAAAAACTATTCTAAGATCAAATGGACTGAAAACAGGAGGACAAAGGTTCAAAAGTCAGAATCTTCTACAGTCAAAAAAATGCAGAAAGAAAAACAATGCAAACATAAAAAAGGGGTTTTATGAATTTATTTGAGCCAAGAATAATTTCAATGTTTGTGCAGCAAAATATTCCACTATGTCTAGCCCCTGTACGACAATACAGAAACAGGAGAGAAGGATACTGGAAATACAATTCAAAAGGAGGGCAAGAGAGGATTTAAAAACAACAAAAGCAGCCATAATTTTAAAACAGAACTGAGCTTTGCCACCAAATTGCCAGCAATGTGAGGACAATGAAGAAGGTGACGTGTCAAGGTGGTTTGAGATGGTTGAGTGGCATAAGTTTTATATTGTAGGTGGCATTAGGAAGAGTACTGTAGAAAGAGGGTAGCTCCTTAAAAAAGGTCCAAAAAACAAAGTTAATGTTATTGAAATTATAAGATCTGCAGTGAAGAATGGGTACAGAAATGGACTTGAAAATGAAAAACTATAATCAAAGCTCTCCCACAGCAAAAGACTCTCTGATAGCATCCTGCTGTCAGGAAGTCTTCTGACGCAAGACTCAATATTTCCACTAGCCATTGGCTAATGAAAATTAACCACTGGTGAGTATTTCATGGACCCTCCAAACTTGGTAGCAAGTAACTTTTAAACACTAGTGGCTGGTGGGTTAGAACTTAAATTTTAAGCCCTGATCAAATGGCTCCCCAAAGCAGCGGGCTACTCAAAGACTCTTGCTCATCTGAAGGCAGTTCCAAGGGAAAGTAAAAAAAAAAGGATCAATTATTACAACAGCTAAATAAAAGCATAAATTCAAAAATCTTCCTTTTTTGTTAAAGCCTCACGGAAGTAAACATTAACATCTTTACAAAGCTTAGTTTGCCTGTCTCTTTTACAAGTATTATTGGTTTGGAAGTATGAGAGGCCTGGTATGAGCAAAGTGCAAACACATTTGCGTTGAAAGTAATTCCAAAAACCTAAATATTTATATCCAAAATTTTCAGGTTTTCATTGTCTTTTGCGTCTCCAAGAACGCTTTCCACCCATGGCACAGCACCTGGACAAAGCATGTTCAAAGGGACTGATGACTGACATGTGAGGCAATGCATTAGATGTATCTGGAACAAATTAAACATGTTCTATGACTAGGTGGTCTGCAAACCGTAAGGAGAGTGGGGCAATCAAAATACTAAACCGGTCCTTAGAATGGCCCGAATAATTTTCAAGGAATGTCAAAACAAGTCAAGGTCAAGGGAAGCCAGACATACACAAGTACGAGTAACAAAAGGGGAAAAAGAACGTACTAAAGGGACACTAGGAACCACAACAGGGCACTGTACCTTGGGCAGACTGGGATTGTATATGGTTGGGGGGGTGGTTAGCATAGCCACGCCCCCAAACGGTACATGTGTGTGCTGAGCTCAATTGCTTAGAGCTCTACTGACGTTATGAAGCCAGCACCCAAGCACCACGTCATAAAAAAGGGGCGGGCGCACAGTGGCTGGCATCCATTAGGCTGACTGGAGCCTCATGCTGTGTGGGAGCGGCGGTCCGCTGGATCCCGGCATCGGCAGAACGACAGAGTGCTAAGGCAGAGCTCGACAAATCCCAGACGCCAGATTGCCACGGCGACTAGAAATTTTGCCCTGGCGTCTGGTATTTGCCAGCTCTCTAGCTTTGACAACGGCATGGAGGTAGGTGGGCGGCCGCCCTGAAGAGCATGGAGGAGGCGGCCACCCGCGGGTGGGCGGCACACGAGGGGGCAGTACTTTGTTTGCAGCTGCTCTGTGCTCCCTCGCGCTGTGTAATGATGCCGGGGCCGGAATATGACATCATTCCGGCCCCGGCATCATTACACAGCGCGAAGGAGCAGAGAGCAGCTGCAAACAGAGTACTGCTCCTTCGCACACAGATAGAGTGCAGCCCCACTGGACCCCAGGAAAGACTCACTTAGGCTAAGTGGGTTACAATTCAAACAAAAATGTGTGTGTGTGTGTGTGTGTGTAAGCCTGTGTGAGTCTGTCAGAGTGTGTGTGTGTGTGTGTGTGTGTGTGCGCGCCTGTCTGAGTGTGTGTGTGTGTACCTGTCAGTGTGTGTGTGTGAGCCTGTCAGTGTGTGTGTGAGCGCCTGTCAGTGTGTGTGTGAGCGCCTGTCTGAGTGTGTGTGTGTGTGTGAGCGCCTGTCTGAGTGTGTGTGAGCCTGTTGTCAGCATGAGTGTGTGAGAACCTGTCAGTGTATGCGCGTTTATGTACCTGCCCCCTCTGATCGCACGTGTTTTTACTCACCTTTCTTCCCATTTCCCACGACGTGCCAGTTTCGCCACGGCTGAGATGATCAATCTTTATAATCTCAGTTTAGGCAAAGCTTTCCTTTAGGAAAGCATTGGGATGATTTTGTGTATGCGCAGCAAATGTACCAATTTGCATCTCCTCATAGAGATGCATTACATTAATCAATCTCTATGATGAACATTCAGCGCCTCCATGCAGAGCTTGGAGACACTGAACCAGGGTGCTGCACATGGTGCAGCAGTGACCCAGGAGTCTCTAGTGGCCATCTGAGTGACTGTCACTAGAGGTGTCACTAAGCAGCAATGTAAACTCTGGCTTTTCGCAGAAAAGGCACTGTTTACACTGAAACGCCTGCAAGGACAGGCTATAGACACCAGAACAACTACATTAAGCTGTAGTGGTTCTGGTGACTAAAGTGTCCCTTTAAGAATTGCACTTTCTCATTGAAAATTACTGGCTCCTAACTTTTTTAGCTGGCCCCTATATTCCAAACAAATTTGTCAAGCCCTGTGCTAAGTTAAGTGCAAGAGGGCTGACAAACACCTCCTATTTAGCTAGTAAGCCACTTTCTTGTGTGTGTGTGTGTGTGTGTGTTTTGGTAATTAATTAACAACAGCTATCAAAAGTCCTAGAGGTGATTATAATAGGGTTATCCATTAAAGTGTGAATTGCCAATAATTCAAAATGAATTTCAAATTTAAGCTGAAATTGCAAGCACAAATTACCTGGACATTTTTTACAGTTCTATTTTACCCTTAAATTTGAAATTCACTTTAATTTCAATAGTAGTAAAGCAGGCAATTATAATAATGAAGAAGAACATGTAAAAAAACAAAAACTAAAATCAGAATAAACTGTTCAAATACAGAAAAACATCATGAAAGTCAAAATCTGTGTTATGGACAACTTTAGGAAAGTAAGAATGCATTTAGTAGTTCGGCAATAGGAAATAACTTGGCAGGCCATGGAAGGACACTGGTGGAAGAGAATCCACTCTTTGACTGTCAGACAGACAAACATAATGTATCATAAACAAAAGATTACACCAGCAAAACCACAGTGAGTTTACCATAAGATGCAAATAACCAGTAGTCTAGAAAACAAACTAGCCTTCTTACAGCTGGTTCCAAAGCTCTACAGTTCTAAGTACATTTTACTAAAGTCTTATGGACAGATGTGACAAAATTAAACCTAGAGTGATGGAAAATGTGTATAAAAATGGCACAGCACATGATCTAAATAATATCACCTCATCTGCGATTCATAGTGGAGGTAGTGTTACGACTTAGTTATGTATGGCAGCCACATGTATTTTATTGATGATGTGACTCCTGTCAGATGAAACAAGTGGAATTCTAAAGTGGACACAAGATCCTCATCTGCTCAGCTCCAAACATATGCATCAACATAATTTATTCTGCAGCAAGGCAACACACAAATTTACAGCAACCTAGAATTAAAAAAAAATGAAATATTTCACTCGCAAAATCAATCCTCCCACCTGAACAGAGCAGACAATGTGATTGACATGCTAATAACAAGACTGAAGGGAAAGATAGTCCCAAAACAGGAACTTATGATGGCTTTAGCACAAGCCTGGAAAAGTATCCCCAGTAAAGATACAAAGTATCTGGTGGTATCTAGGCGTTGCACATAGAGTTTGGAAACCATTGGAAAGATATGCAACTACATACTAACTAAATATGAATGAACCCCCTAGAAATGAAGGGCAATGTTTAAGAAGGGTTGCATTTCTTGCACTAGTCATATTTTACAGATATAAAATACCTATTAATTAAACCCATCATACTACACTTTGCGGTCTTATTTCATTTAAAATCCAACTTGCAGTTGAACAGGGTCAAAAATGTGTTTCACTGTCCAAATAGCTATGGGCCGCACTGTATGTATTAGTCAGCCAGTTGCAAAGACCATTAGTCACTGTCGATGAAATCATATATCCTTTACATTACAGCTTTGCATTTATTCCCCTGCATGACAAAAATGTTCCTTCCACAGATGACACGCTATATATAGCTAGTTCCAAGATCTCGTTCCTGGAAAGCAAAAATACTAAAACATAAAAACTCGAACTCCTTCATTCCTTAGGGATGTCGGGAACATGGTAAAGAGCTTTACTGAAATGCAATAGCTTAGATTTAATATGTTGCTATCACGAAGATTTAACTTTTCTTTTCCCAAAGGAATTCTAAATCTTCCTTGGTTTAACAATTACTTACAATGAAGCCGGACAGATGGTTTAGGGGAGTAACGAAATGTAACTAGTGATTTTGACAGGATGGATGGAGTGAAGCATATAGGAGAATTGGGGGTAATTTTCACAATAGTGGATAATTTGGATCCAAAAAAGAATAGTTTGAATAGGTTTTGGAATGCCAAACGTTAATGTATAGTTAGTTATTTCATTAATTGGTATAATTTTATAATTTGCTACATTGGGCATTGCGGTGAGGATTCTCATTAGCCAATAAGGAGTTAAATGTAGAATCTAGCCATGTATACTAAATTCCCACCCTTACTCAATAATGCAATCCAGCCACTTGGTGCAGGAATGAACATCATAGAGAAATGAGCTGGCCCAGCCCACACTTCATTATTAACAAGACATTTCTCATGCAGACTCTTATCTGGGACGGGACAGTAACAGAAGGTTAGAGGCATGGGCAACACATTTGCAATTATTTTTAAAATACATTTATTTTAAAGTACAATTTGGTTCTGACAATCCTCCCTGTCTCTCTGAAAGACAACCAGTTGTTCTCAGAACCTGCAAGGTCACAGAGTATGGAAGAGCAGCAGACTACAAAACAATGGACTGCAATGGGGTTTGAAAAATGTGCATGAAAAGCCATGATCATACCTTCACACTAATACCGTACTGCTACTTGATCCTGCTTTTAACCAACTACTTTACTTACTGGTAATTGCAAGCTTGAAGCTTGATACATTTACCACAAAAGGTCTTAATTATGGTTATTGTGCATTACGCAACGGTGGGAGAAAATTTCAATCTGTGATGCGCCCACTTTGCATTTGAAGAGTTAACATCCCAGAGAAAATAGATTTGGGGCGGGCACAGCGAACATTTTTCATCATCTTTAATCCACTCCCCAGTGGATAGTAAAACAAGAGGACAGGGACATGGCATGAATCAGCGGGGAGAAGGCTTAGATTTTATTTGTGTTTGAATGGTTGGGAGGGGAGAGATTGGAGCTTTCTATCACGGCTGCACTTTCTCATGGACATCTTGAGCCAGACACATTTCTGGCCGAACTTCTGCTACGGTATAAATTAACCAGTTTGGTTCCTGGGTCAGCTAGAGTAACACATTCCTGCCCCTTTTCCAATCAATGCACAAATCTGAATGAAAAATTAAGGTGATAATGCATTACTAAAGACGCAGGCAAATGTTAAAACAAAACAAAACAACACACATGTACACATATGCCCAGATTCACTATTTAACCCCTTAAGGACACATGACATTTCATGATTCCCTTTTATTCCAGAAGTTTGGTCCTTAAGGGGTTAAAGAAAAAAAATGCATTAGCTAAACAGCTTATGATAATACTAGAGCGGAGATGGAATGTGCAAATCTGGCAGTTGAATGGTTAAGGCGAGTACCATAAAATGTGATTACTAGGTCAGTGTGGCTCTGAGCACGTGTTAGGTTAACTAAAAGGCCATATTAAAAACGGTCTTAGGCAGTGCTGCTGGTGTAGTCAGAGTGACAATTGTGAAATATATTTTGATGGATTTTACAGGCAGTTATTCATTTAGACGTCTCATTGCCTGGGGTCTGAACAATTCGATATTAAGCTCTGTTGCCCAGCGTTTCCTGGAAAAATGTAATCAGAGCTACATTTCCAGTGAGTGTGTAAATAACATACATATATTCACCATGCAACGGTCACACCTGCAGGTCTTGGCAAAGCATTTAAAACTCTGTGCAGTAGCTCTGCCTGGAGGTATTACTGCAAGGACCACATCTCCAATGCACTGACAGCTGGTCTCTTGGGAACAATTAGTGAGGGAACAGCAAGGGAATGCAGCTAGACAAGTCTATGCTTCAGGGACAGCAATGTAATGAGGGGGTGATCAGGTTAAAAAAAAAAATGTCTGCTACAGATCCAGAAGTGGGCTGAAAAGCAGCTAATCGAGCAGCTTGCATGAGGCACGAACAGCAAAGCACTGGCTGCTAACCAGCACTATTAAACCTCACAATGAGCTCTGCCAAAGCGTTTTGATATTCTGGTTGGTAATTATTGTAATGATGAGCCATTTCTGCCTGACTGGAGCAAAGACAAAAATACATACATATATCTGACATATATTAAAGTATAACACAGCTTTTAATCTCTTCAGCAGCAATCTGAGCACAGACAGAGCCATGTACCAGGGGGAATTAACCCAATTTGTGGCCACCAAACGTCACCAATGATGAAAATTGTGTCACCAACACATCCCCTTTCTGACTTCGTTCTTAATTTCATTTCACCAAAACCTGCCCTGATCCCTTTACTTGCTGGCTAAGGTCAATGGGAGTAGGTGCATGTTTATTACGAACCAGTGCACATGACAGCATTTAACAGGGCTTGACAAATTTGCTTAGAATCTAGCAGCCAGCTAAAAATGTTAGGAGTCAGTTTTTTTTAAAACTTTTTTTAAGTTTAACATTCATTTTCAACTAGAAAAATGCAATTCTTAAGGGACACTATAGACACCAGGACCACTAAAGCTTAAAAGGACCACTATAGGCACCCAGACCACTTAAGCTTAATGAAGTGGTCTGGGTGCCAGGTCCATCTAGGATTAACCTTTTTTTTATTTTTTATAAACCTAGCAGTTTCAGAGAAACTGCTATGTTTATAAATAGGTTTATAAATAGGTTAATCCTGCCTCTAGTGGGTGGGGGCACCCTCAGGGCACTATAGTGGTCCTTTAATGTAGTTGTTCTGGTGTCTATTTACTGTACTTGCAGACCTTTCAATGTAAACACTGCCTTTTCAAAGAAAAGGCAGTCTTTATATTACTGTCTAGTAACAGTCACTCAGATGGTTACTAGAGAGTCCTTGGTCAGTGCTGCACAGTGGACCCCACTGGACCCCAGGGAAAGATCAGTATCCCTACCTTTCGTAAAGCTGAGTTGATCTTTCCCTGGGGTCCAGTGGGGCTGCGCTGTCTCCCTGCATGCGAGGGAGCAGTAAGCTACCTGGCATAATTAAACAGCGTGTGAAGGAGTGGAGAGGACCTGTGGGTAGATTACAGCTCCATCGCGCACCGCATGTGGGTGGCTCCAAGGCCATGGCGGTCGGCTCCCTTAAAGAGCTGACATCCCAGGCACCAAGTGAAATTTCTAGTCTCCATGGCGACCTGGCGCCTGGGATTTGTTGAGACCTGGCATATAAAGTAATGTACTTCTAGCAAACGGAACAGCAAAACTCAAAGGAAACAAATCTAATCTTAAACAATGTGGTCTGAAGTGCAATAAACATTTGTACCAGAGACAATGACTAGTATAAATTTAATTGATCTCACGACTCCCCAGTAGCTGTGAAATTACAACCCTTGTAGTGCTCAGCCAAAGACATGATTCTTTTCATAGAGGAGAGCTGCTGGTACATCCTAGAACAGTTGAAGAGCTACCTGCACAACCATTAATTTTGTCTGAATCAGTGCAGCCATAGCCTTCAGCTCCTTTACCACCTTACCAGGGGCTTGTTATAGTACACTGATACCAAACACCGATAACAGCTGGAGAAAGACAACAGCAGACAAAAGAGGCTGTGATGTAATAATTTGTTTGCTGCCTAGGTATATAAGCAAACATCTATGAACATGATCATGCTCATGTAAATAATGCAGTTTGTTATTGTATTTGTGGAAAAATGAATGTCTATACATGTATATTTGTATGTACAACAAACCCAACTGACAAAACACTGCAAGCCTTGTTAAGAAACTACCTAAACTACCATCAACTGGTTATGTAGCCAAAGCAATACTTTAGAACAGATCATCACAAAATATACACAGCAAACATACCTGTGAGTTTTATTGCTGTGGAGCACTCAGATATCAGTTGTCATGGTGCCAGAGAGACGTGATCAGTACGGTCACAGCTACAGAGGAAGCTGATCCGGTCCGCCTCCCATAGAGTTGTATGTCGGTGTGGCATTCTGACAGAAAATTCTGCCTCCTAGGTGACATGATTGACTCAAACATGAGTGCATCATCGACAAGCACATTAGTTTTGACGTCACAAGATAACTTCTAGTCAATCCCTGCCATCCTAGGGCTAGACTAATTTTATTTATTTTTTATCAGTGCCCTATCGTGGTTTCCATTCACTGGTAGTAATCAGAGTGCGTTTATCTTGTATTGCTATTTGGCTAGTCTGACCTCTGCTTGTTATTAACTATTCTTATTTCTGGTATCATTGATCTATTGGCATGTCTACTCGTTACAGTCTCATTTTGTATCCATGACCTTGGCTTGTCTCTGACCATTCTTTATTTACATTAAGTCTGGCCACTGTAAGGCCCGGAAATACTTATATTTCTGAGAGTATACAATATACCCAACTGCGTGTTGGATCATAGTATATTCTGACACCAATAAATCGCACACATTACTATAAATCTAATGATTCAAAGTGTTGTGTTGTATGAGTAGATCCCCCACAATAATGTGAGTTGTCATGCTGTGGAGCTATGTAATACACTCATATCCACCATACATTACCATAAAATCACTGCTGTGGGAGGCGGAGCCTGACCTTGGAGCTGCTCAGACGCACAGTCAAAGGCAAAAATCAGCGACCATAGAGCCCACAGTCTCACACTAGGAGTGCACCACTGAACAGAATGATGCCTAATAGACGCCCGGGCAACAGGAACGCCAAATGCGGCCTACTGGAAAAGGAACCGGGGGGAGGCGGCCGCTCTCCCTGAAGCCGGTCCCAACAAGCGACACTGAGGGACTCCAACCCCCCCACCCCCTGGACCGGTGGGGGTTATCCCGGTCCCCAAGGGAAGCCCAGCTCCCACCCTACCGCAACTGCGCATCGAGCATAGCAGCAACGAAGCGGAGCCTAGACCACACAAGATGGCGGAGGCCCTCTCACAGACCTCGGTGGCCCTCAGCCAAACACAAGAGTAACACCTTGACTCCTTTGACACCAGGCTGGAGGTAATATTTCAAGCTTTTTGGAACAAACTGCAGGCACGCTTTGCCAACAACCAGCCTACACAGGTACTGAGGAGAAGCCCAGAGGGCTTGGTGGGAAAGCGCCCCACGGGCAGGACACTTACCCTAGCAGCTCAAAAAGAAAATATGGCGTGACTACAGCGGTCTGCATGGAAGCCTGCACAAAGGGCAGCACTCAAAACTGCACAGAAGCGCAAACTTGGAAAGCAGCATAAGAGAGAACGGAGAGGGGCACTGCAGAGCACACCCAGACACAGGAGACGCCGCCATGTACCACGCAGCCGCCTACTTGAACCCCGGCCCGGCTATCACCCTCGGGCAGTATGTAAAGAGCAACCCACAAGCAGTTCCTGAGCCCTAACCAAAGACCCGAAGTTGTGGGAGAATCCGGGACAGGACTGTGATGGACACTGGAGATGGTGGGGTAGCTATATGGGGACATGGACATGTAACACAGCACCAAACATGATGCATAGCTTGGTGGGCATAGGCGGAGCACCATACTTGAAAGCAGGACCTGGCTACCATGTCCCTTAGGCCCCAGGTCTCATGCTAACCGTCACCTGCCTATATCCTAGCTTTAACTATAGACTAAGGGTCTGTTCAGCTCATAAGGGTCCCCATCTCCCACAGTTTGTTCTTTGATTTTTGTTTCTTTTTCTTTCTTGGTACTGGTGAAATATAACATACAGTAGTATGGCATGATAAAAGGTGTCACAGTCCCACTTAATAGGGTGTCCAGACTGAGTTGAATATTTGGAGAAACTTCGTTAAAAATAGCCAAAAGGCAATATTACCAAGCATGTTCCTACACCTGTCATTAGGATATTGTCTCTATCGATAATTTTCAATAGTCACTTATACAGGTCATAAAAACCATACTGGACACTCAGCATCTACTCTATCATCTAAAAAGAACTCATGATTAACCCTTTACAAATGTTCTCTATCTTCAGTGAATTTAGCTTGTTACTTAAAAATTTTAAATGGTGCCGTTTCTAGAGAAGCCACACAATTGTTTCTGATGTATACTCTTTAAGGTCACTGTTAACGCTGTTGTGGCGTTGATGGCTGGTTTGTACCACTCATGCACCACAAAAATAAAGAAATTTAAAAAAAAAAAAAAAAAAAAAAAAAAAAAAAAAAAAAAAAAAAAAAAAAAAAAAAAAAATCGCTGCTGTGAAGCTCTGTGACACATTACTGTAGAATTACTGCTGTGGAGCTCTGTAATACAATATCAGACTTTTCAAACACCTACATAGCAGAGACACAGAGTGACAGACAAATCTGTGTCAGAAAGGAGGACACTTAGAAGGTATGAGATAAACTGAAAGGCAATAATAGATCGCAGAGTAGATATGTAAAACAGAAAGGGTAGCTGTCTAAACTGCAGATGTCAATACATCACAATTCAAGGATTATTAAACAGACCTCACTAAATTTAAATTATAAATGCAAGTGTATTCTCAATGAAGCTATTGTGAAACACTTATAAATAGAGATGGTTTGTATTATTTATAAAAATATTCTCCCAGCAACAAATTATGATTTCTCTTTTCATGTCATGGAAACATTCTGTTCTAAATTATGATACAAAGTTGAATAAAAACCAAACAAATAATAGGAACAGAATTACATTATACATGTGCATCTACAAACAGTTGTAAAATGTAAATATTACTATATGTATATTAAGACAATGTAATGCTTTTAAATTGGCTGCGCATGTTTATCTGTGGCTGGGGGAAGGAATTTTCCAATGCACGCTTTAATTCCAGAGAATGAGGCTGCTGGAAGATATAGCTAGGCAATAAAAGGCGAGAAGACAATAGTGTTTCCCAGCTTGTTTGTTAACAGCTTAAATAAAATATTCTTAAAATATAATGTAAAGTTTTTTTATCGTTTAAAATATGACAAGTCGGGAAGCAGACATGCTATAAAACTTCATCTCAAATCTCACCCCAGAGTATAATGGTTCTTTAACTTTCGAAGCTCAAATGGTTAAAGAAGGATATTGTGCAACAGTATCTAGGAGAAATGACAAAAGATCTCTTTTGTCTCTGTCACAGAGTTGCAGTGCATTAAGCGACTGTGGACAATAAAGAAGCATTTATACAGTTTGCACAGAATGGCAGTAGGGTGTAGTTTCAGGAACTGAACAGGATTAAACCAAAAAGATAAATACAATGTGTTCAGATACAATATCTGTCTTCATACCTTCAAAAGCTCAAAAGGTTTGAAAAGAGGGAACACACTTGATAGGATTGTGGATTCAGGAGTGGGAATCCTCTTAAATGTAAACTAGAAAATTTAAGGCTTTGCTTTTTAGAAAGGTGCTTCTATATTTTATAATAATTACTTATATAAACAGTGCCAAACAATTCCACAGAGCTTAAAGAATCTCTATGGGCGCCATCCATAACAACTTATTAAAAATGAAGTTGTTATGGTACCCGGATGACCCTGGCATTTTATCACCTCAAGGGGTTAAACCGTTATCGAATGGTTTAACCCCAAAGGTTGCCCTCCAGAGGCATCTGGTTTCTACAATGGAGTTACAGGAAGCATGGAGCGTTGCCAGATAGGGGCACTGCTGCTGATGCTCTAAGCTAATCAATAGCTCCCCATTCATTAAAAAAAGTAGTAGTAGTAGTAGGGAGATCGATCACTGACAATTTCTGGCAAAGGATGGATTTTAAGTTGCCAGGATAATTTACCCACAATCCATTATTCAAAATAACCCTTGAGAGTTAAAGTGCAGGCATCATAGACAAAGGAGAACAAACTGGTGGCAATTAGACACCACCAGTACGAAGAAAAAAAGACAAAGATAAATATATATATATATATTCTAATTAATAAAGTGAAGTTGCAAGGGAAGCAGCTTAATTATTAAGGTATTGCAAAAAGTACATGACAATATTGATATAAAGACACCCATAACCCTACATTCTATACAATCCATGAATGCTACATTATTTATTTATTACTGGCATATATAAAGCGCCAACATATTCCACAGCGCTGTACAATTGGGAAAGAGAACACAATAGGAACAGACCAATACAACAGGTAGAGGGCCCTGCCCGTAAGCTTACAATCTAAAGGTGAAACTGGGAAGATGAGACAAGAGGTAGCAGAGGGGTTTGTATGTGATGGCAGAGAGAGTTAATAGTATGACTTCAGAAATGGAACCAGAATGAAGGGTACAACAAAAGCACATATAATCTGTGTGTTAACAATATACTTGTTTTCATACCAAATTTTGTCAGAACAAGGGAAATTTACTTTCCAGAAAAGTTAGTGGCTCCTTCAGACAGCCTATGAGAAAAGTCAAACGTCTCTGGCATAATGGAGAAACTCCTGAAAAACAGCTGGATATTTAATTAGTGCCGGAGTTTTAATAGTGAGACAGGAATCACTTTTTTGTTAAATTAAAGGGTGCATTGAAACATTTTTAAATCTGATCTTTAATGGAAAAAAAAAAGGAAAGGAATATTTTTAAGTAATCAACGCCTTCTCTAATCTAACACATTAAAAGATAGCCTGAAAGCAAAAGTTAAATACATACTATACTGAAAAAATATGCAGTATTAGAAGAATCTGTGGACTATGCAAGCACTTTACTGTAAAAAAAAATCTTAAACTATTTTTTTCCTGTACAGTCTTGTTTTGCCCCCATTTGTGCTTGTGATATGAGGAGCTCAAAAAGGACCCCCTACCTAGGAATATATCATTATAAATTAAAATGACAGGTAAGGTGTGACTGCTTGTCTATATACATTAGATGCCACACAATTCCGATAAGAGGAAAAAGTTTCCCTAAGATACATTTTCTAAAGAAATAAAGAAAAAAAGGAAAGAAACAATAACAAAAACACGTGTGGTTAAATGTACATTATGAAACCAACCTGCTAATATTTGCAGCAGAATCACAACACAGAGGGGTTGGCCAGGAAATCTTGCAACGCAAATTTAGATTAATCAAACTATACTCAGATCAGTTTTAGTCTACATTTAGCTCTACATTTGTTATGGAACTACAAGTGCTGTAATTCTTATCCAGTCACAGGCAAACTCCTCTTCATTTACAATAACTGCGGAGTATTATGGGACTTGTAATTCTCCATTTGCTTGAGAGTTGCCATCTGATTGCACTAGATCTACAAGCTAATAAATTAACCTAACTTGCAACCCCCCACCCAAAACAAATAAAAATCTAAACGGCTGAATCTGATAATGATAAAATCCCTAAGCAGGGCACCTACAGACTATTACTGTAAATGTATCTTTCATGGTAAAATGCATTGAGTTTATTATTTATCAGATCAGTTAATCAGGATAGGTGATGTCAGATGCTATCTGCACTTTCCACTCTCTAGTGTCACTTAAAGAAGCAGGCGACCCAGAATTTACAAGGAAAAGGCTGAGTACAGCAAGTAAACATATTTTTACGTTTTGTTCTGAGAAATACTTTATGCTGTTGAAGATAAGTTTACATATACACACACACACACATATATATATATATATATATATATATATATTTATTAGGGATCTACCGATATTGATTTTTTAGAGCAGATACCGATAATCTGTGAACTTTCAGGCCGATAGCCAATAACTTGCTGATATTCTGTACATTTAGCATTTTGAAAAAATAAACTATTTCTAAAGGTAAATGCACAAAATATACATGCCACATGTAGTGGATGCAGTGTGTTTAGACCGAGGAGCTGTGTGTGTTTGTGTAGTGTGTATATAATGAATGCAGAGTGTGTGTGTTTGTGTAGTGTACGTAAAGTAAATGCAGTGTGTGTAGTGTGTGTCTAGTGAATGCAGTGTGTTTGTATAGTGTGTGTATATAATGAGTACCGTGTGTGTGTGTAGTGTGTATTTAATGCAGAGTGTGTAGCACACTACACTCTGCATTATACACACTACACACTCTGCATTATACACACACACACACACACTCTGCATTATACACACACACTACATTATATACAGAGTGTGTAGTGTGTGTATATAATGTAGTGTGTATATAATGCACACACTACACACTCTGCATTAAATACATACACTACATTATATATACACACACACACACACACACACACTACATTATATACACACACTACACACTCTGTATATAATGCAGAGTGTGTAGTGTGTGTATATAATGCAGAGTGTGTAGTGTGTGTATATAATGCAGAGTGTGTAGTGTGTGTGTATAATGCAGAGTGTGGTTTTTATATATATATATATATATATATATATATCACATGAAAGTGGTCTTTCCCCATAAAGCATTTCTTTTAAAGGGACACTATAGTCACCCAGACCCCTTCAGCTCAATGAAGTGGTCTGGGTGCCAGTTCCCCAAGGTTTTAACCCTTCAGATGTAAACATAGCAGTTTCAGAGAAACTGCTATGTTTACACTGCAGGGTTAATCCAGCCTCTAGTGGCTGTCTTCCTGACAGCTGCTAGAGGCGCTTCTGCGACGCTCAATGCGAAAATCGCATTCAGCGTGCAGAACGTCCATAGGAAAGCATTGAGAAATGCTTTCCTATGGACTGCTTGAATGTGCGCGTGGCTCTTGCCGCGCATGCACATTCTGCTCCACTCGGGAGCTGACGTCGGCGGGGGAGGAGAGGTCACCAGCGCCGAGGGAGCCCGACGCTGGATAAAGGTAAGTGGCTGAAGGGGTTTTAACCCCATTTAGCGCCAAGGGAGGGGGGCCCTGAGGGTGGGGGGGACCCTAGTGTCAGGAAAACGAGTTTGTTTTCCTGACACTATAGTGATCCTTTAATGTTACATGCTGCACAGCTTACTAGTAGTCACTTAAACTAGGGCTCGACAAATCCCAGGCAACCTGGCACCTAAAAATTTTGCCTTGGCTTCTGGGATATGTGAGCCCATTACCTCTGAGGTAGGCAGGAGGCAGGCTAGGAAATTGTGGAGGCGGGCAGCAAGATGGGGGATTATGGAGGCGGAGAGCATGCTGGAGGGTCGTGGAGGCGGGCGGTGAGGGAGCTGCTCTTCTTCCTTGTGCCCCTTAGTGAAGCCGCAGCAAGCAGTGCGCATAGGAGCAGTGCAGGGACATCACAGCTTCATCGCCGCCCGCCTACTATTCGTGCAGCTAGCTGCCCACCTCCACAACCTTCTAGTATTAAGCCAGCCTCCTGCCCGCTTTCAGGACCCCCAGCATGCCACCCGCCTGCACAAACCCCTAGCTGGGAGACCACTGGATTCAATGCAAATTTGTCAAGCCCTGACTTAAACGAAGCAAAAAAAGATCATACTGGATGAAAAATATAAATGGTGCTTGGATAAACCTATTGCCACTTATTCCAAAGTCATCTACTCATCAGTTCGAAAGTATGAGCTCTCAGACAGGCCAAGTGTAAACTATCACCATTCTAAAATCTAACCTTCACCTCCTACAACCTAGGGTCAAAGGTCAACACAATGTACACACTAATGATGTGGCTGTGCGATAATATGCAGGATGCTTCTACCAATAATTAATGCCTCCTATTGCATGGGTGTTGTAACCAAACTTCTTGCTGTAGAACACGGAGTGCATCTATTGTCATTGGCAGCCCATTTTTAAACCTTGTTGCCATTTCTCAATGCAAGCTGAGGGATAAAAAAAAAAAGAGGGGAGTTGATATAATGCTGGAGATTGAGTCATATGCCCTATAACGAGACAGTTGGCGCACGTACGAAATTTGCATCCTGCCAGAAATCTTTTAACACCTCAGGCCAGATAAAACAGAGATGCTGTCAATGGATTAGCTAATGTCAGTCCAATGGGAAGTCACTTGACCCCAGATTCAAAACAGCATCCAAACGCTTGGAGCAGTTATTATATGTGTTTCAAAAAATAAAATCTTTTTAATGTAATTATGGGGTAAAAACTTAACTGAAGAATCTGATTTTGGCAGGATCAGTTTTAATAGTGGCCAGTAAAATAAGATGATCAAAGATACTAAAGGTGTTTCATAGAATAACAAACCAGAGAAAGGTTTGAGTCAAGAAACCCAATGTCTTTAATTTTCTAAAGGAAGTCAGCGAGATGCGGGATTTGGAACTTCGTAGCTAACACAGGGTGCACAACGTAAGAGAACCATTGTACTTTGGCAAGAGACATTAACACAAACCTGGCCAATGCATGATGTCAGACCTTTGCCTATTACTGAATTCACAAGATGGATAAACACTCACTTGGTTACCAACAAGAGACGATTGAAATGAGAACAGAGCCGCTGGTATTCCTAATCTATCTGGAGAATGAAATTACTCTTTGCCGGAAAAGGCAACAGTCAAATCTTCATAGTTTTACACCCAGGAGTCCAAACATAGCATCAAAAAATATTGGGACTACACCCTTGCCTGTTAGCTATCAAACAATGGACTAGTAAAAGATAACAGAGGGGGAAAAAAAAAAAACTACATAACAAAAACGGGGTATCAGACCAACTATGAACTGTTAGAAGACTGCTTGCTCTAGGAGCCCACAGCACTATAAAACACCATAACCACTAATGTCTGCTGTAGTGGTTATTGATCCAGTAGTCCCATTACGTTGTCCTCCAGTAAGGAATGAAATCATGTGTAAACAGTTTGACACATATCTATCCCCCCACCCATCCCATTGCTACCAGCCAATGAATGACCTAATTAGTCACTAAAGTGAGTTCTGAACTTCTGCTTTAGCTGCATGGAAGAGACTGGAAGGATTCGGGGATTTAAGGGATTCGTAAAGAGAGTTTGACTCATTCCCGCGATGACACCAGACTCTTGGCACCATAACCACTACAACAGGCTGTAGCAGCTATGTTGCTAAAATGGTTTCTTTATATTTACAAGGGGCCAGGTGCAGTGGCCTAGCATGTGGAGGGGCCAAAGGGGTGGCTGTCCTGATTGCATAATTGTTAAGGGTGTAAAATTATAATAGAGGGAAAAAAATGAAAAGTAGTAATAAAGAAAAAAAAAAAATAGCGCGCCCTCCAACTAACACAAAAAAATCACTTTGATTTCCTATTGAAGATACTGAGTGATAACAGTCCACCTGTTAGGGGGCGCTAACAACCCATACTATGTCATTGGCCCGTATGTGTCTCTTAATTTAAAGAACATTTATTTATTAGAAAGAAGAAAAAGAAAAACATTTTACATTATTTAAATAAGTATTGATTATAATCATATTTATTTATATGTTATATGCATGTCTGTTTTAAAGTTGTGCCAAGTCTAATATAAATCTTTAACTGTTGACATTACCGGAGTCTTCTTTGGCCCTAAAATGCATGTAAACATAAAACGTGTGTGTAAGACGATTTCATTGACGTTTCCCATCTTGGGGGAATCTATAGTGACAAGAATAACAATCCTAATAATCTTGTGCAAACACAAAAATAAAATGGTAATAAAGCTCCTGTCAAGTGAAGCTGCCATGAGTTGTGGAGACAGGATAGCAGCGACAAGTACAGGAGTTCCACCAACAAATTTGGGGAAATTATTTTCGGATATAAAATCTAATTACTACAGTAATTTTCTTTGTTTTCACAGATGACACCTTAATATGCATAAAACAAATGTTGCAAGCACAAGTAATAGGCTATAGTATTACTTAAAATGATGTCTTTACTGTAAACACAAAAAACTATTAAAAAAGAGTAATGATCATGTCCTGTGGTTTTAATTGTAATTTCACCAAACTACAGCGGTTGCCTATTTTGTCATATGGCAGAACAAATGCATTACCAGCTGGAAGCAATGCAAACAGGTAACAACTACTGCCAAAACATTACCAGGTTAATAATTTAAACTGTGCACATATTGCCCTAAATTTGACAAGAGACTTTGGCCTACAGTGCCTCTATAATAATCATTACACTCTATAAAAATAGAATATACAGTGCTCTTAATCCATTACTAAAACAGATTCCACATTATTTTTTTATGTAGCACTAGACTGTGATTAACGACCTCTCTATCATACAAAGTGCTCACTAATCCTTCCGCCAGCAAAGTGGGAAGGGGCAAAACATTGTAGAAGATTTATCAGTGAAGAAGTGTATGTGAAAATTAAGTCAGTCAATGGTTTCTATAGTGATTTCTACACTTAGAACTGTGCAGAGAATGACACTAAAATAATAATCTCCCCTCTTTGGTTACTCATTATTCCAGCAGTGAAAGTGTTAAACATGACACACCAAAAGTAAAGGATTGTAAGAGGCAATTACAACACCTATGCCAAACAGCTTAAGTATTAAAAATTACTATTATACAGATCAGTATAAAAAAAAGAACAAAAAAAAAACCAATTCATTTCTTGACAACACGCCAGGGAAATTCTTTTAAAAGACATTACAACCGTCCTATGCTCCGTTCTCAAAATAAATTGGTTTCCATGACAACTTAGACTGCACATCGTTCCAAAACTTTTATGAAGCCAATAGGAAACCTGCATCTACTCCTCAGCATTCCATTTGCATGTATCCTCTCCCAAAATATGCTCTGCTAAAAGGTGAGGGGAAGTATCAGTATGGAGGATTTTATAAAAGAAATGTGAAAGTGCCAAAAAGTTAAAAATCCAATCCGGTGAATCAGATGGGTTGTTTTTTTTAGGGGGTTGTTTTTTAAGGTCTGGGTGTAATAATTCTAATATTTTCCAGTGCCAGCATTTAAGACTTATGGTTATAAGGAATAGACTTTACATTCTGTCATCATACACTGCTTATTCGAAATTGCACGCACACAATAGAGGAACCCACTTCCAAATAAAATGATCTACATAGGAACTGAAGGTTGCATGCAGTCTGGAACAGGACTTCGGACATGATGAGTTCATTACACAAAATAATGGTGGCACAAGCGCCCGTATTGCATCATTCCCAGAGCACCGTGTGGGAGCGGGCTCTGTAGACGAATTATAGATCATGCTATGAACACAGGTGGTAGTAATAAGGAAAAGTCTGTTAACGGTGCTAGTTTATGCCAAAATTCTGCCTGATATTTTTATTTTGATGAATGCAGTAGGATGGGGATACTTTTAGAGGATTAGGATCTACAGTTATTATAAAATTAATTTATAAGAAGTTAGTGTGCAATTCCTCCCCTCCCCCAAGACAGACAGACAGACACACACACTCTCTCTCTCCCCCCCCATCAATAGACATCCCATGCTTCAGCCCTCTTTATGATTGAACAAGTCATTTAAATGCAGATTGCTGGAGCTCATTTTTAGGTTACTCTATTCCAAGCATTATGAAGGATATTTATAAAACAAATGTTGCTTGCAGAAATGAGGAGCAAAGCTCTAGAAGTGCAGCAATCACTGTAGAAACCAATAGAATCAGCAGGGACTTTCTATTGGTTAGCAATACGATTGCATTTCTAGTAGACAACGTTTACCATCCCTTTCACCTGCCATTTACTTTATTTCAGGTTATTCATCGGACTGTTAAAATATTAGTAAAGCAAGAAGAGTTTCATTTTTAGACAAAAATAGCAAATTTGTGGAAAATCCATCTCCAGCTCAAATGTAGATTCATTTGGCAGCTTTATTGCCATCTCGCTACAACTATATAGTGGAACAACCTGTAAATATTTCCTGAACAGACACCAATACACTAGGGCTAGGCCCAAGATGTCTGTTTATTCTGCATCTACAATGCCACCTCTATCAACAAGGTGTGTCTTCCTAAATCCCAGGTGCATTCTAAATTTTCAGAACAATTCTCTGAAAAATTGCAATTTTTTTTTTTTAAAAGCACCTTATTCTTTTGGTAAAAGTGCTAGATATGCACGTAAAACACAGAAAGCAAACACAAGCATGCCACTGGCAAAGACATAAACAAGGTAACATGTTGACTCTTGCCCAAACCTTTACAATAACATAATTTGGCCAGGCACTAAAACAGATCAGTGGGAGATTTTATGACAGATTCATCCCCCAACATGACACCAGGAATAAAAGTGTTAAACATATCAGTCCTAAATGAATCAACATTGCACATATGTATTTAACCATTTAAAAATCACATGGTAATCTAAAAAGAACGCTTAACAACCCCCCTCCCCCCATGTGCACACAAAAAAAGGACTCAAAACCATTGTCATTATATGAATGCAGCGGTCACATTTCCGCATTAAAATCTACAGACAGAGTTACATTCTTATTAAAAAATTTCAAATAAAAATGTTTTACTTTAACATTTTATTTCAAGAGCCTGCTCGGAGCTGTATGGAAACTAAACAGTTACATTCTTAATTTATTTGGTTTTGTTTCCTTGAGTAGTAGACTATCAGTATATCTTTTTAAGGAATCATGACAGCTGACAGCCCGCAAGTTTCCAAGAAAATTTTTTGTGCTCTATGGGAGCCCAACAGGACTATACTAGTCAATCAGCCACTGCTGTTGCAGCTTTACGGCATTAACCCTCATACTTCCATAGTATTTTGCATTATTACTTTTCTCAGACTCATTCCCAATGTAAAATGCTAATTTATAGTATAACAAACACAGATACACTACCTGTGGCACAGCGGCTATCGTGAAGCGCACAGCTCACCATGCACAGCCGTCCTGGAAGTCTGCTCTCTCTGCAGCTTTATTTACTTTGTTGTATGGATGTTACGCATAAATACAGTGATTATCTTAATTTGTGTCAAGTTAAAGTGACAGCAAGACACATTTTGAATTATATTTAAAGAGCAAAGTTCTAAAAAGTGGAGCAGTCACCATGGAAACCAACTGAAAGGTCCCACTCACTGCTCAACGTCTGACACTTTGCAACACATCAACTCTTTAACCCCCTAATTTCAAGGGAGTAAGCAAACCCTTTTTAATCCAACCAGCCCTAGCATGTCACGTGTCATGAAGGGATGATACGTAACTGCAGTACATTTCTGTACCTATCAGATCCAGGGTTACCAGATCCACCAAGTTTTCCTGGACACATTTCACTTGTACTTTCTGTCAGGAATCACATGAAAAGTGCTGTGCTGCTGCATGCGGAATTCACATACTACAAGAATCAGACAAAATTCATTAATCAAGTAGGAATCCCAATGGAACCTCTGGGATTAATTATACGGATTATCCTCCTGTACATTATGAATGTTAAATACCACAGGGCAGCATTTTTCAAGTAATGCCCATCAACAAGAAATGTCCAGGAAAATGTAGTGGGTCTGAAAACCATGTTCACACCTCTGTGACAGTCATGCCTTACTACAGCTAAAGGTAGAGTGAACATGATATGCAACAGCTGTTTCTACAGACATGAATAGGACTGCCTCCTACAAACACAGTCAGTCAATCAGTCCACTCAGAGCATTAGGAGCAGCAGTGATTCCATAGGCTGCCATCCAGGTGCAGAGCATGCAGAGGGCTGTCCATCAACACTGGGAGCACTCACCCTGCAGGACAGAGGATCATGCATGGCTGGCTACAGGGTCCTGGACTATGGGGAACGTGGACAGTCCTTCCAAACAGTGACGGTTCCTCTCATCCAGAGATGCTGTTTGCAGGGCTGCATCCTTAGTCTGAAACCTTCCTTCTGCTGAACAGACTCTGCTTCCAGCCAGGGATTCCCTCTCCACCCCCTTCACAAACACTTAACCCTCCTCCTGCCAAACTACAGCAGATAGACTGGAGGCTTGCAGACAGAAAAAAAATGCAAATGAGTCACACCAATGGTTTATGGCTATTATTAATAAAGGCTGTTTTTTGTCATCTGTCTATTAAAAATCATTAACTCTTGTTTGACCTAAGGTTTTATTAACTAAACCAGGAATTCCAAACATTAAGCCAAAATGTCTAAACTGCAAACCATTCTTTAGTAACACTATGTTTCCAATTGGCCTAAATGATGTAGTTCCTATCTCCATTCACCACAACTCGCAGATTATAGAGCAATCATAAGGGTAGGTTTTCTTACCCATGTATTCACTAAACTTCAAACTTGTCCTCCATTGAATTGTAAACATCAACATTTAGACAACAATGGGTGATTGGGGAAACGTCTCTCACTGTTTGGCTCTATTGCCCTACATTTTGAATTACAGATTACAACTGGCTGCAATTTGGAATTTAGTAAATAAACCCTTAAATGTGAATTTTGAAACCTGTAATACTAATATAGCCACGCAGTTACTGTCTAATTTGGGAATTGTTTCCAGTTCTGCTCCTTTGGCCAACGTTTGGTAATAGTTTACAATTCACTGCTTAGTAAATCAAATCCAGAGCACCCTTCACTCTTAAGGGGACCATGGCATTGTCACTAATTTACATATAACACTCCTTACATCCAGGGCCGGTGCAAGGTTTTTTTGTCTACACAGGCGAAGACGCATTTTGTGGTTTGCCTTCACCTGTAATATACCCCCCCTCTTACCCATCCTTTTGCGCATCTTGGCAACATTTTTTTTCTTTCTCTGTTCCCTTTTTTGCACATTGTATTTCCTGTTTGTTATTTTTTTATAACTTTGTGCCAATTTTGTGGTCGCTTAACCCCCTTGTGTCACACACACTCACTCCCTCAGTGGCTCTTACACACACTCATTGACTATCACACACACACACTCACTGGATCTTACACACAAACACTCACTGACTATCACACACATTCATTGGCTCTTACACACACACACACACACTCACTGTCTATCACACAAACACTCACTGACTATCACACACATTCACTGGCTCTTACACACAAACACTGGCTATCACACACTCACTGACTCTTGCTCCTACACACACACTCACTGGCTCTTACACCCACACTTACCGTTTATTATCATTGTTAAAAAGAGATCCCATCAGGTGTAGCTGCACTGTAGAAACTTTCCTTTTCTCTTCACGCTGGTCAGCTGCTGGGATATGATATCATGTATCCCAGAGGCTTTTAGCTCATGAAGAGATTGGCCGCAGCCGCTCCTTGCTGCTCCCGTTGCTGGAACCCTTCCCCGTGGTTGCACGCTTTTTTTGCCGATCACATAGCCAGCTCGGTAAATTAATAACAAGGGTATTTATACAGTGAGTGACTTCCGGGAGGTGGGTTCTCTGTGCTCCCACCTCCCGCCGGTCACTTGGGCATCTTTGCGCCCCTGTGATAGTGCCGGCCCTGCTTATATCTATCATGTATTGCAGATTGTTATTCCTTTAGTAAGGCTGCCATATTCACCATACTATCCTGAATCATTTATTCATGTTTTGGGCAGAACACAAAAAGTGCTGATGCGCAATATGCAGAAAGCATAAACTGCCCACTTAGAGACACAGCAAACTTTAATGTTTAAAATTCTGTTTTATTTGGTTTTATGAAACATAAAATATGCAATTACAGAATTAGCAGAGCAATCAAATAGTAATACGAAGCAAAGGTCAACAAATAAAAAAGGAAGTTCTCTGAACGCCCCCTCCCTTCCGACCGGCCCCATTTCTACTACACCACCTTACCGACCGCCAAATATAAGAAATGCTTGACGATTCGGATCTTAAATACGGACAAACAAGTCATCCCCTTATACTGGAAACAAGACCTCATACCACCCCTCATGACCTGGTTTGATAAAAGGGAAGACTGGAGGAACTGATCTACACAATACAAGACCGCTTCCAACTCTATGTAGACACTTGGCCACATTGGCTGACGACTGCATACAACACTGACTTCCAGAAGTTACTGACATACAAGACCCAAGGAGAGTAGTGGACGGGGAGGAGTGGGAGACGGGATTGCCGCATCGTGAGGACCTGGGCCGCCGACCAGGAATGCAGGGGTTGCCCTAGCATAACTAAAGGTACAATGCCCTTCACTCCCTCTGATCTCCGAATATCTGCCCCTTAGGCTAAGACACATTACATTGAGTACTACATGATGTGGAATCAATCAATTAATTGATTATCTTGCGTATCTGCCCCCAGCCAAATTAAATAAGTAGTGCGTGCACGCTCCTATAGTAATTCACACCAGACACAGGTTTTGGGTTAATGAAAAACTTGAGGAATGTTTATTCTGAGGGGACGGTATGCCCCTTATAAAGCAAAATTACATCATATGCTTTGTCAGAGATAACATGAAATAATACATCGATAATTGGTTAGGTGTTAAGTGGTTCATTTATTGCTCTTCCTACCGGGTGTGATGTCACCGGTATCTTGGAGGTCTCCCCCAGATTCCAGCGCCATCTTGTTAGTGAAGGTGTTAGTCAATGTCAAAGGGAAACTCCCTAGCGGCCATTTTAGGTAAATCGCATATAAAGTTGAATAATGCTGATTGTAGGTATGCTGAGTAAATAGGCATTTTACTAACATGAATTGGGTTAATATTTTTGTCCACAACAGAGAGAGCGGAAATAAGTGACGAGAGATCAAAGGAGGGAGGGACAACAGGGTTAGAGACAGGAAGGGGATGGGAATCAAGAACTGGGACGGAAGGGGTGGTGGGGAGAGGAGAGGGAGGTGGAGGAGTAGTGGGAGTGGCAATAGAGGCAGAGATGGCGGAAATAAGTGACAAGAGATCAAAGGAGGGAGGGACAACGGGGTGGGAGGTGGGAAGGGGAGGGGAATCTGGAACTGGAACGGAAGGGGTGATGGGGAGAGGAGAGCAATAACATAACATACTAGATACTTTTAAATGGTTTATTACGGACCTGCGCGTTCTGACGAGTTGATATTGTTGGTCCTACGCGACCTATAAATAATTTGCTGATTCGGACCTGCGTGTCCACGAATCTTTAAGTTAAATAAAAATCTTATTTGTAAAAAAAAAAACAAATAAAAAAGGTCTCACTGATGAACAAAATTCAAGACAGTAACGTGTCGCCTCCGTAACGTGTCAAGAGAAACCAGCACTATAACAAAGCTTTTCGGATGCAACCGCCAGGCTGTCAATCAAACAGCTATGATGGGGCTCTTTCTCATTTGTTTTGACTATTCACTTAAAGGTGATGTGAGGCTTGTTATAAAAAAGTGTTGGTTTCAATGCTTCTCTATGTGAAATGCAGAAATTGCTGTGCAAGTGCCCTGCATACCGATGCTTTTCTATGAGATAATAATTGATTTGGCTATAGATAGATAGATGGACAGATAGATAGATAGACTTTTTCTTCTGGGCAAAGACATAACATATGTGTAATAGCACAGAGATAAGCACATTGTAGCAATTAATGGAACACTATAGTCACCAGAACTACACCTCATTGTAGTTGTTCTGATGAGTATTATTATTGTTTTATTATTTATAAAGTGCCAGCAAATTCCGTAGCGCTGTACAAGTATAGACAATCTCTGCGAGCATTTTCATGCAATCACTGACTTTTCAGAGAAAAGGCAGTTTTTTTCATTAAAGCCCAGGGACACTTCCACTGGCCACTCCTCAGATGGCCACTGGAGGTGCTTCCTGGGACAGTGCTGCACACCGTTCACTGAACTTTACTCATAGAGATGCATTGATTTAATGTATCTCTATGAGGAGATGCTTTCCCTATGGGAAAGCATTGGATTGGCTGAAATCATCAATTCTGATGATGTCAGCCAGAGGCGGATCGGGGGCAGTTGTAACACTTTTTAAAGGAGGGGCACGCCACCTAAATGGTATTTTTAACACTAGAGATCCAGGAATACATATTTGTGTTCCTGGCCCTATAGTGTTCTTTTAAATAGGCTGAAAATTAGCGGTCATAGATGAAACATACAAGTTTTTTTTACTAAAGTGAGAACTGAAATTTCAGATTTAAGACCAAAGTAGCTGAACTGAAAACAGATTGACATGGGTGAGGGAATAATTATAGACCATATCTTTATAGTAGCCACATCTTGTTTACATAGCTACTGAAAATCTACTACCTTTAGCTTTAGAAATTAAGAATTATTACCGTATATACTCGAGTATAAGTCGAGTTTTTCGGCACATTTTTTGTGGTGAAAAACCTCTACTCGACTTATACTCGAGTCACTGTCTGTATTATGGCAACTTACATTGCCATAATACAGACCAGGTCCTGTTGGGGGCTGGCAGCGAGCTGTAACTTACCTTTCCTACAGATCCTGTCAGCTCCCTTCTCCTGCGTTCCGGTCAGCTCCACTGTAAGTCTTGCGAGAGCCGCGGCGTCAGAGCGTTGCCATGGGTTACCGTGGCAACGCTCCGCGCGGCACTCAGACCACAAGACTTACAGTGGAGCTGACCGGAACGCAGGAGAAGGGAGCTGACAGGAGCTGCAGGAAAGGTAAGTAACAGCTCGCTGCCAGCCCCCCTCCTACACATCCCATCCAATGGACCAACCGGGAATGAGAGCCTCCCTGACTGGCCAGCTAACAAGCAGGGAGGAGGGACAAAAATAAAATTAAATAATAATAAAAAAAAATAATATTAAAATTAAAAAAAAATTAAATGCCCTCCCCTCACCCAGTTCACACACACTACACACACACTCTGCATTATATACACATACACACACTCATACAAACACACACTCTGCATTATATACACACACACACTCTGCATTCACACAAACACACAGACTCTGCATTATATACACACAGAGTGTGTGTATATAATGCAGAGTGTGTGTTTGTATGAGTGTGGTATATAATGCAGAGTGTGTGTTTGTATAAGTGTGTGTGTATATAATGCAGAGTGTGTGTTTGTATGAGTGTGTGTGTATATAATTATAAAAATC